AAAAAAAAAAAAAAAAAAAAAAAAAACTCGTTATTATCTCTTGTTTACCTTGATTTTTCTTCGCCCCATCACAATTGCTCCTTAATAATTCAAAAGCATAGTATACTCATTAGATTCTTTTTTTAAAAAATAAAAATTGACCGGAAATTTTGAAACGCCTATGCACCGATGGACCGTCCCTAAAATATACGTACCGCTCTATGGAGGGAGAGGGGTCGCTAAAAGCGTCACGCCATTTTGTTTTTACGTGTTAAAGGATAGGGACCTACATCACAAACGCGTCATCAGAAAGGGAGGTCGGGGGGTCAAAATGCCGAAAAAGTGCTTTCCGTAATTTAGGGACAGCCCCCCCACATAGCGCAGAATCTTATGTCAATACTGATACATATTGTTGGATGTTGACATGATATCATCAACACTAATGCAGTATGATATTAAGATTGTCGGTTAAAAGGTACACCGCGTCAGCATGAATATAACACTGATACCTTCAATATATCAAACAACAGTATTGAGTCAATGCTGACGAGGTAAAAAAAAATAACACGAAAAGAAATTAACACGAAAAAATGAAAAAAAAATATAGGAAGAAAAAGAAGCCTAAGAAAACACGGTGTTAATCAAAGTTATGATGAAAGTCGAGCCGCGCACTGATGCTATGCATGCTATAACAGCCTTAACAGGCGTGATTTTAACCCGGAACACCATTAGCTCCTTGTGGCTCAATGGCAGAATACTGGGCTAGGAATTCCGCGGTTCGGGTTCAAATCCACCTGAGGGCGTCCGGGTATTTTACGCTACTAAACGTCGCAGGACATCAAGTAAGTGGTTTATAATATTCAATACTTGTATACTTGTGTAATTCATGTTTCAAATGTAATACATGTGTAGTACTATGAAAATGACGGTCATCGTCTGAACTTTCATATCTACTTGACAGAGTGCGCTGAGTGTACAGACGTGTCAGTGTTAAGGTAGTAACGCATACATATTGTCGGTGTCCTGCAGTGTTCTGATGACCTTGTCATAACCCTGATTTCCATATGAAATCAACCTTTTCGGCCAATACTGTAACAATATTTTGACAGCTCCAAATCAGTAACTAATAAATACTGGCATAGTCTTGATATAATATTAAATCAGGATACATCAGCATTTTATAAATACTGACACCACTGACGTGTCAGTACTATTGTAGTATTATATCAATATTCTGTGCTATGTGGGCCATAACTGCGAGTTATACTTGTTCTCAGCCGTTGATATCGGCACCACTGCTTGAGAGGATTTTCAATGAACATTTTAACGAATAACGTACGCATATTAGCGCCTGCAAGACTGCAGAAATACTTCACCCATTGCGCCAAACTGGATGCGGTAACCGCGCCGCGCGCCGCGCAGTGGATCGAGTCAATTAGAGCGGTCGGACTTGAAATTTTTGACTAAAACTGCTTTTGATGTTCATTTCGTCAGATATTGAATTTCAAGGGGTGCTGTAAGAAGAAAATTTTTCGAGGAAACCACTGTAACCACTTGTAGAACCTCAAATTTTTGTGTAAACGGAGTTATAAGCGTTTAAAGTTTCCAAATTTTGTCCGACCTCTCCTATTGACTCGATCCCGGTTGGCACGAAACGCATTTTAGCGTCTACAAGACTGTATGTAGGATTACTTCACACATTGCGCCGAACATAGTGCGGTTGCTAGTCGGCGTGAAACGCATATCGATGGTGAAAGTGCAGAAGTGCGCAGGTATCTCAGAAAACACGATTTTCCATGAGAGTATTAAAACTGTCTACATTCCTCTTTATTGTTAGCGGACGGGCAAGAATTCTTGAGGATAGCAAGAATAAGACGTTTTTTCAGACTCTATCAGAAGTCATTTTGCGATAGAGTCTCAGAGGACTCAAGTTTGCGAGATCAGAAACGATGATACAGCATTAGATTTGATAGAAACTGTTAAAAACACAGGAGAGATAATACGTGTGAAGAACGGCTGGGTAAATTGATTAAACAGTGCATACGGAGTGAATTGTGGGCACAAAATTAACACTGCACATCCATCATAGTTATTTTAAAAATTTGGCGAGCATGCCCGCGCGATTTTAAAGGCATTTTTAGAATATCCGCACCGTTCCTATCGATTGCATTTACAAGTGGGGTTTTTACGCGGGAGAGGATTTTTTTTTCTTGAGCTTCAATTTCTGCATCGTGCAAAGTATTTTATTTTTTGTTCACAACTTTCCTCTTCCGAGCAAACTATTTTCCGTTTCGTTATTTCTCTTTCTATCCCGTGAATTAGGTATTACAATTTCAGTGCAATCAATTTTTGATACCTATCGAGACAAAGTTCATTCTTGCGTGGCTTGATACTTTTTTTGCGTGCCGTTAAGTCACACCCCTACTTAAACTGAAGTACCTAGTACCTAGTAGGTTTTGATACCTAATAAAGAAGAAGACTATCTCACCTAATATGGATACTTTGAAATTTCTCCTGAGAAGTTGTTTTGACGACTCAATCATGTCTGGCGCAGCAGGTAAAGTGATAAACGCTATGATCGAGCCTGTGTAAGCAGCAGTAATGATGATGGTAAAAACCCAATAAGCAGCTTCAAGAAATAAAATACAAAAAAAAATAAGAAAAATACAAAAATATGGAAAGTATACTTATACGTATGTATCTCCATATTTATATTATATTGTTATGTTTATATAAAACAAAAAACACAAATAATAAGGACAGGAAGATGTAGGTAACGTGGCCGCTCAAACAGTCAGAAAACGTTATTTTAATCAGTGACGTGACGTTGATACCTTTCCAGCAAATCCAGCATAGTTAAAAGTACTTGCATTTTGGGTTTTTTTTCTCTTTTTTTCAAAACTACTGAGCTAACAATAAGTAAACGTCCACCACTTTAATGCGTCCAATGAATTCCACTAGTTTTAATTTAATAAGTATCTACTCAAAGACATGACGTGACGAGGAAAATCGTATTTACTGGGAAATCTTTCTTATTAAAACATGGGAAATTTCCTTGGAAAATATTATTGAGTCATAGTTTTAGATTGTCCTTTTTAACCTACATGATCTTGAACGGTTGGTACCTTTTTCTTTTTTGACGTAGTGCAGTGTTCGTCCTCGCAAAGGTTTGTAGGTACCCAAGTAGCACAGTGCAATGCAAATGTTGAACTTAAATTGCAATTTGATTTCAATAAAAGTGTAATTTTTTTACCATTTAATCGCAATATTTTACATCCTTTATTCGATTTATGCCGATTTTAAACAATGAAAAAAATGAGCTTTGTGTGTCAGAAAGATAGGCAATATGCAATGCAATGAAAAATCCCAACTTATTTCAATTTGATAGCAATAAGTTTCAATAAATGGGGCTCCTTCAAATAGGAGAGCTAGGCAACATACACAACTTTCGGTGGAATTGCAATATTTTTACAATGTAATTGCTACTTATTGGAATCTGCGCTACTTGGGTACGTGCCCTCTTCACGTCTGTGCTCGATTAGTTATCGCTAACATAAACAGACTCTCGATAACTTCCCGTCATCATGAGTAACTTTTGGAAGGACGCAGCTGGTTGATCGCAGGAAGAATACTTGCGAATGGAGATGAAGGAAATGCCTTTGGAATTGAAAGAGGGAATCTCAGGAATCAAAAGAGGTCGAAAAGGAAAAGTTATGGCCAAAAAGGTCTCGATGGATGGACCTTATTATTAGCCTCAAAGCTTCCCATTTTCTCTCACCGATAAAAGTTCGAGTCGCAAGTTTTTGACTGGAGGTCCACGAGTTGCTGCCTTTGAAAGTGAAACAGTTCGTAAAAGTGCCGAAAACCATCCAAAACATGTTTTCCCACTCTTTGAGCCGTTTTAAGTTGTTGATAGTGTGATTGTGAGAGATAGAGAGTGGTATGATTCCGAAAACATAGACCAGAGTCATCGCTATCCAAACACCACCCGTGAACGGACCGAAAACTGCGCGGTACCTTGAACGAATACATGTGTATTGAAGCAGCCAAAAGGATCAAAACATATACGGATAAAAGGAAACATTCAGAAATTTCTTTATGTATATATTTACGATTATCAGATTTGTATCTTTGCACACATCTCAGAACAGGCATAAGTAATAGGATTATCTTTCTTTTTTTTTTATATATTCTTCTCTGAGCGAAGGCTCCAGGACATTTCGTTAACGATTTTTTGTCCGCGCACCTGTTTTGTCCAGTAGTTTACGTCCACGCGTAAGATAAGCAACTGTGACTTGGTCTAAGCATTACATTTTAGTCCGTATGTAAAATCATATTATTGAGACTATCGAAATAAGCAAATTGAGAGAGAAGGAGGTGTTGTTATGGTGACTACCTCTTTAAATGAAATGTTACATTCTCCTTTTGAGTTAGTTAGTTAGTATAATTTTAAGACATTCAGCGTCTTCTTTCATCTTTTCAAATTGTCATTGGTGAATATTTGGTTTCATTTCTATCCTTAATATTTTTGATATGAAGTATACCTTACATACACCTTTTTTTTTAATGAAATATTACTTCATTTTAAAAATATTTACATTCTTAAAACGTGGCAAGTACTTTCTAAGAGATGGAATCAATACTGATATCATTAAGCCGCAGTGGTAATGAAAGAAACTGTACAAAAATGAATAAAAGAGGAGAAAAAACCAAGAAGCTCTCAATCATTGGTATTTTTACATCGTCCTTTTAGAGTCAAATGCGTCCAATTTTAAGCGTTTGGTTATGAGTGCACCACGCTGCATTACAGTAAAAGCACAAAGCATGAAAGAAAAATTTAAAGTGCTTTGTAAGTCCTTTGACACGGAACCATACCTGAATGTATACAAATTACACATTATACTTTCCTTTCAATATTTTTCTCCATCGATTTAAATGAGAATAATCCACGCTGACTGTGCAAACATTTCAAAATCACGAGTTGAAAAATGCTGACTCCGCGAGTTTAAATATTAGAGCCGAACACAAAGCGAAGCTGCCCACAAACCTAAGAGGATACTTCACGCATTGCGAAATGCTTGAAGTATCCACTTAGGTTTGTAGGCGCCAATGCACGTTGCACATTGACCACCCTCCCGCCAAGCTGCGCCGCAGACAGCCGTCAGTTAGACGATGCGTCATTATTCATGACTCCCTTTTATTTTCACCGTAAAAAACAAAAATAATTATCCTAAAAGCTCCGATTTAGAATCCGGGACCATGCTTGTTTTTTCCGTAAAAAAAGGAAAATAGGACTAATAATAATTTCTGCCCTGAGAACTCTGGCGGATGGGACGAACGCTTAAATCGCTGCGAAACTTAGACGATGCGTCATTATTCATGACTTCCTTTTAGTGTTCACCGTAAAACGCAAAAATAACTATCCTAAAAGCTATGATTCAGTACCAGGGACCGTGGTTTTTTTCCGTAAAAAGAAAAAAGCACAGTAGGACTAAATATGATTTCGCGACGAAATTTCTCGTGATTTAAATTAAAATCGTTACTAAAATTATTGTAACTAGTTTAGATAATCTGTGCGCCGACTTTTAGCAAATATTGATTCAAATTGAAGCATCAACTGTGGTTTGCAACGTTGCAATCGAGTGGAAATGAGCTCCTTTTCGCAAGGAACCATCGATATTTGAGTTCGTTTACGGCAAGCGTGACATACAACTATTCGACCACGGCTGTAAGCATGTTGCAGCTTCGCGGGATTGAAGGCGCGTCAAACTGCGAAGATGTCTTGACCGCCCTGCCGACCCTGGCGGGTGGGACGAACGCTAAAATCGCCAGCAGAGGTGTTGCACAGTATCATTTGAAATGAAAAGCGCTCCAACAAATTAAATATGACAGGCATCCTTTAACAGTACGGAGTTTCCCTCGCAAAATAAATCATGATACTCCGGCACAAAAATACTGCAGTAGTGCAAAAACTCAGTAAGTATTTAATGATGTTTAGCATAATTATTGAATGTCATTAAAGAAAAATGTAACTTAATCCAAGCAGAAACAATCTTGAGTTTGCAGTCAAGAAGATTTTATTTTAAATCAAGAAGAAAGTAGCTGAATGAAAGCGGGGTTTTGTTTGATGTAAGTGACTTTTCTTTTTATGTAAGCATCTTTTCTTCTTTAAACAAGCATTATTTTCTTTATTGATTCATGAGAAAATCCTCTCGGCCGTAAATTCGAGGTTAGATATGTTAGAATCAAGTCACTTTTTTCTCTTACGAAGTTCAAAAATTATGCTAAACGATCTTGAATACAGATACGAGGACTTTCATGTATTCACACGTGGACTTATTAACTTTGGGTCTCAATTGGTAAGTGGACCAAAACTCCCCTGCCGAAAAAAATGCGTGGACGTAAACTGCTAGAAAAACAGGTGCCTGGGCAAAAAATCGTTGTCGAAATGTCCTGTAACCTGAGCGAATAAGTTCACTGATTACTTTCGATGAGGGTAAAACTTAGCGTAGGAACTTTCTCTGAAAGCTGAAAGCGAGAGGAAAAATCGTAATTCATCGAATCGAATTGAATCGAATTAATCGAAAGGAGGAAATTTAGCACTGTCAGCTCTTTGTCTCACGATCAATCCTCCCATGTAATCATATCATTTCTAAGAAACTACCAAAATTGAGGAGCTTTAAGCACTAGGCGCATAAGTGCAGTTTTTGCTATTTCGAGAAATGATTGTTTGAAGTTTCGAAATTACATGGATCCATGGCAGGAAGAAAGTTCTCAAACTCACTTTTTGATGCTTTAAAATTTGGGAGCAATTTTTTACAAGATATGCCTTAAGACTAGTTTACCCGAAATAATGGGTATCGCAATTTTTTTTCAAAAACAGCACTTGTGCATCTTGTCCTCCAAGCCCCTCAATTAATCGTGTGGATGGCATACCCAAGGAAAATAACACCTATATAGCCCCAAATGTCAAAGTTGAACATTTTCATCAAATGTGATACTTAACTTATCGATAATTTCGGAAATGCATATCTCGCTTTGCGGCGTTGCAGACTTCCTACCATACTTTATTTTCTACATGGAAAACTACAGGACGTCATTTTTTGAACATTGAAGGGATTTTTATTATCTTTATGGAGAATATCCTGTGACAAATTCAAGCCATAGTGTTGATTCCGTCTCCTTTTAAAAAAATAAAATAGTAGCAGAGATTTCGGAACACTCCGCAACCGACGTACGCGTTTTTGCAGTGTCACCATCGTTATATTGTTTCCGATTATTTCTCCAGAAGATAGGGCTATAAAACTGTAGTTAGCTCATTGTTTTAAAGCGATCAAAAACAATGTCTCCTGCCTGCAATGATTTTCACTGTTCTGTGTTACCAGTGGCTTGGCGTGATTTGCAATTTATCGATTGATCTGCCATTTAAATCCAAGGTAGATTTACACAGGTATGGAAAAGTTGAAAATTTCCCATGAGCCTCAGTACGTGTCACATGACTACGTGACGTAGGTTAAGGGGCCCGTTTTTTTAATTAAATTACAATCAAATTAACATTCAAACGTTTGTGCGTTTAAACGTTAAAATTAATATAGCATTATCAAAATTGTGCAAAAAATCCCACAAAATTTTGACAAACGATAAACCGAACATAATAAATCAAAATAATCAAAACATTCAAAATGGCTGACGTTAAGGGGCCGCTGGAGAGCCAATCAGAGGCCAGTTGTTAAGTTCTGTCCATGCCTGTGTAAATCTACCTTGATTTAAATCTACAAAAAAGGATCGATTGACAGGGTGTTTGCAACGAACACCTTAATAATCGATTCTTTACCGTAGCTTCAAATGGGGAAATATCGATAATCGATCATACACGCCTCGCCACTGCGTGTTACCTGTCAACGGAGGTAGACGTAAGCGTGACAAAAGAAGCACAATCTTGCGTATGCGGTGATGAGAATATGACGTCATCGATCCGATCCACCGTGTTGTAAAGGCCCGCCAAACCCATGTCCACCTTCCCTGATTGAATCTCATTGAGCACTCTCCCTGCAGGACCATCCCTGCAATCAAATGAATAAAACCATGACGCACGCAATGGAAAAATGCAGGAATAAAAGTCCAACTATCTTACGTCTGATTCAAGGAGCTCTCCAATGAAATCAAGTAGGTAATCCCTATTTTTTCGCTACCCCCTTTAACGCAAAGCATTAATCTTGCCTACATCATGAGAATCGTCGCCCCTCACAAAAGAAACAATGTACAAAATTTCGGTCACTGCTACAATAAAGATTTTTAATATGAAACAAGTTTGTAAAGCACTGGAAAAAAACACATTGGATCTAGAGTCCAGACTCTTGAAAACATTGACAAGAAAATGGACTCTTGATTCAATCAGATTTAAGCTTAAATCAGAAGGAAATCCGCTGAAAGTAAGAGGCTTGGTTCTTGATTTTAACTTAAATCTGATTAAATTAAGAGTATTTTTTCTTGTCGATGTTTTTAAGCGTCTGGACTCTAGATCCATTGTGGGTTTTTTTTTTTTTTTTTTTTTTTTTTTTTTTTTTTCCAGTGAGGGTTTGCTTATCGATCTGCAATCCTTATTTCTCCGTATGTTTTCGATAAATCGAGGGAGAAAAATGTACGGTAATTTTTTGCAAACTGAACATAAGATAAGTGGCGGGTTTCGAAAGTCCTATGAGGCTGTAAATGGTACCTCAGAGGTCAGCATGCATGTGATACCTCTGATTTTATCCATTTTTCCCCCTTTTAAATTGCTTACTTACTTACAGGCCGTCCCTAAAGTATATAACACACTTGTGCGGCATTTTTAACCCGCCCTCCCTTGTAAAGCTTTTGGGACGTAGGTCCCCGGTCCCTATCCTTTAACACGCAGAAACAAAAAGGCGTAACGCTCTTTCCGTCCCCCGCCCCCACCCCCCTAGAGCGTTACGCAATTTAGGGACGGCCGCTATATTTGAAAATTTGTCCATAATTTCCGTTGAGGGAAATCAAACCCACCGCATTCTAGAAGAAGAGACCCCCAAAAAGTTATCTGGCTGGTGCTCACTTTTTGTTCGATTTTATAGATGTCACTCTCGATGTCATTAAAGTAAAAGCACCCATGTGTCAGGGATTAAGTGATGCACCAAGCTAGAGGTCAAGCGAGAGGACTTGTGGGGCTATGTTGACGTAACCCTCAATCGAGAGGCTTGGAGGACAAGGCGCATAGGTGCAGTTTTTTGTTATTTCAAGAAATACGTGTTTCAAGTTTCGAAATTTCATGGAACCTTACAACGGAAATGACCGCTAAAACTGTTTTACTCCGCATTCTTTCGTTCAAACTGACTTTTAGATCCTTTAAAATTGGAATATAGAAGAGGATTTTTCACAGAATATGCATTAATACTAAGTTTCCTTGAAATCATTAATATCTTAATTTTTCAAAAACTGGGCTTATGTGCCTTTTCCTCCAAACTCCTCAATCGACCTTCGGAGGAGTATGATAGTCCGTCGCAGTTGGGGGGATTGCGAGGACGGGAGTAATAAATACTTAGCAAATTTAGGTTAATATTGAAGAATGTTTTCTTTACTTACCCATCGTTAGACTCGGGCATAGCTCTAAATTCCGTGGTGAAATTGAGCATTTCCGCCATTATTTTAACTATACGGATTTCTAACCCATCCCATCCGCCTGATGACTCGTAATTAGCCTCTCCCTTCCCTATCGAACCTGATCTGAAAAATAAACAACACATTTCTCCAGTGCATTATTTCTTCATTGAAGAGAGAAATAATTATGGAAATAAAACTTTTTAGTACTGCAATGCAAGAAGCGGGGTCGGATTTAGGGGGGGGGGGAGCCAAGGCGGCAAATTTTGAGATTTCTCTACACATAGATATAAAAAAAATATTTCGGATTCAGAAAAAAATGCAAGTAAGAAACGGCGGCAAAATCTCGGATTTCTCGAGGGTATAAAACTAGAGCTTTTTGCAATCAGATGGTCCTTGAATCGATCTGAGAGTAAGGTCTCGATGGACCATTTCTTGTGAAAAGAAAGTATCGTGACTTTTGAAGTATATACATTTTAGATATGAATACTTCATTTTTTAATCTCCGCTTTTTTCTCACGAGCAAATATCCTCGATTTGTCTTTTCATTCTAACAGGTAATGAAGGTGTCCTCATCAATTTCTGTGCCTTGGTCTTCGTTCTAATACAAGCAGGGGAGGGAACCCCCTTTTCGTTTCATCATCCCCGTTGCTAACTACTGGATGCAACTATTCGTATGTAACGAATGTGCGGATTGCATAAACATAAAACAGAAGGCGTTCTGGCGCTAAGAAGCTCGTAGATCTCCACGTGCAGCTGAGATGAAACACGGAATTTTGAAGAGTAGGGAGTGGAAAATAATAACGGATGGTGTTCCTGTTTTGAATTCAAGAATAAACCTGTGAAAGACGAATGGGGGCTGTTCGGCAACGGCAATTGCGAGACGATGACCGTTGAAGCCGTGTTTGAATTTCGGCGGAAACAGGTCAACTTTCGGACGCGTGAATGAACCATTTCGCCAGGTTGTCAGGATCAACGGAGCGCTCGTTCCCAGACTATCGATGTAGAATTTGTGCGTGTACAAGTTGATGTCCTTCGTCACTTCATCGTCATCGTTCTGAAATATTTTCACCGGAAAACGGAGGAAATGTGTAATCTCTCAATTTCAAGATTTAAGGAATTATGTATTGCAATTAAAGTCGCAAGAAAGTTGCAAGTTTCTGTCGCATTACCGATTATCTATCAATAAGGCTTGTAACAGACCTATAAAAAAGAGGTTCATTTGAGGGGCTTGGAGGGCAAAGCGCGTAAGTGAAGTCTTTGCAATTTCGAGAAATACGTGCTTGAGGTTTCGAAATTACATGGATCCTTATGGCGGAAAGGGAGTTCAAACTGACTTTTTGATGCTTGAAGATTGGAATTTAGGAGCGAATTTTTCACAGAATATGCATTCAGACTAGTTTTACTTGAAATCGTTAACATCTCAATTTTGCAAAAACTAAACTTCTGCGCCTTGTCCTCCGAGCCCTTCATTATCCATGAAATTTCAACCAGAGCTTTTCGAACGAGGTTTTTTCCTGCGTATGAAAGTGGGTTTTATCGCGATCACTAAACTCGAAAATCGTGGATCTTATACCCAGGCGTTTTATCAAAAGTTCTGCTCCAATTTAATTTTTCAAAGGAGAACAAAGCAATTGTATTACTACAAATTTTCTTAGAATATTTTTTGAACAGAAAGGAAACTTTATGGACATTTTTCAAGTAATATGTACTTGCTCATGTGGGGGGGGGGCACTTGAAGAGCAGACCTGAGGGCCCGTTCCCTGGTTTAGTGTTTTTCTCAAGACTCACGGTGTAGCCAATTCTGTTGTAGGGCTTAATTTCATTGCAAAGTCGCTAAGGTTTATGTAAAATTTCATATGTCCACTCAAGAACGATTGAAAGACTCTTTTCCGTTTTTGGATTTTTTGCGAATTTCTTGGCGATTTAACGCATATTCTCGGAAGTTTTCGCTGTAAAATATGCACCCGTTGATAATAATATTAAAAAAAAGTGTGTAAAGTAAAATTTCGAAATTTTCTAACTTCAGTAAAGATTTCTGGCTCTCACCCTTCCTGTCTCATTTGATTGCACTTAATTAAGACGACACGATTTAAATTCGGAAGTGCAAAAAAAATCAGCAGTATTTATGAAAAATAGAGGAGACTTGGTTGCTTCTCAAAATTTACCTATCTGCCTAGGAATCGGACAAAATGCTTGGTTTAACGCAAAGAGAAAACAAGGGCAGAAATTTGAATTTCAAGCCGAGTGGCACCCCTCACTTTTACGGGTCGTCTCGTATTGGCTGATCCGCCTGGTGCCCCCTCTCCGGGGCCCTTATGGAAAATAGCACGGGGCTCATTTTCCATCGAAAATATCTCGAAAACAAGGAAAAATTTACGAGTCGGAGATTTCAAAATTCAATTTTTCAGATTTTTCTGGAGAGGTTGATGGGTAACACGAGGCGGTTTTTCCTCAAACACACCGATCAGTTCGATCTGGAATTTTGTTTTTGCAACTTGAAATATGACGCTTGGTGTCATAAAAGAACAAAATTCCACATCGAACTGTTCGGTGCGTTTGAGAAAAAACCGTCATGTGTTACCCATCAACCTCTCCAGAAAAATCTGAAAAATTGATTTCTGAAATCTCCGACGCATAAATTTGTCCTTGTTTTCGAGATATTTTCGATGAAAAATGAAACCCATGTTATGGATCTGCGTGAATTAACGTGGATCTGCGACAGATACAGGGTTATTCAAAAGTCACGCACCGCTGGCCACGAGGGGGGTGGCCAATTATACTTTTTGAGTTGCCCCCCGCCCGCCTCCCCCAGAGGGAATAAAAAACTAGAAAGTACCTAAAAAAGTTTCCCCCTCGATATGAGAAAAAACGTCTTAAACCGCAAGTCGATATCATAATTGGAACTAAAGTTACGGCCAGTGGTGCGTGACTTTTGAATAACCCTGTATATTGCTCCTGTTTGATGCAGGTTTCGGTGGCATACCAAGAATAGGACTTCCTGGAGCTGAGGGTCGGAGATAACGAGGAGGTTGGGGATCCTCTTGGCGGCCGGGCTTGAGAGATACTCGCGGACCATCCACTTGGTGGTCGTCGTGACGAAGACAATGCGGGAGTCGCGACGATCGGCCAGGAGTTCGCCCATCGTCTCGAGTTGCTTGGTGAAAGCCACGTAGTGGCTGCACATCATCTCGCTCGGGTTCAGCATTCGTGGGTTCACTCGCTCCGTTCCGGTCGTGTCGATCGCCCCGTGCATCAACGGGAACGGGAACGTCTCCAATAGCAAAGTCACAACCATCTGCGAAAAACCCCTTCAATATCATTCTCTAGGCAACCTGTGCAACCGTGTGCAGCAAAGCGTGCCGTGTGCCGAGGGGAATGAAGGCGCTTCAAAGTGACATCGATTGCCCCGTGCATCAACGGGAACGTCTCCAATAGCAAAGTCACAACCATCTGCGAAAAACCCCTTCAATATCATTCTCTAGGCAACCTGTGCAACCATGTGCAGCAAAGCGTGTCATGTACCGAGAGGAATGAAGGCGCGTCAAGGTGAGATCGTGTTTGCAAGTTTGCCCCAATAGCAGTTCACGTCAGCTTGTTTAAAGGAACAGAGACAGGTGTGCAAGAAGGAGTATGCTTCTTAGTTGAAGGTCGTAAGAATGAATGGGAATTATAAAGCGCCAGTGACGTCAGCGGCAACGACCGGGACGAGAAGATCGGGATCGAAGCTCTTTAACTCATGAGCCCTGTTCACAACGTTCTTGTTACATGCCCGCAAGGCTGACGAGTGCCACATATTTTGCCGCCTAGTTCCTTTTGAATTAATGTAAAATCCCGCTTTTCCATTCCCACAAAAGGGACCACGTCTACTCTTACACTGTATCTTATGCAGCTTTCTAGAGCTCACCCTATATTTCCCACAAGTCTCTGGTCCCGTTTAGCAGAATCACGTCCAAGTAAAACACTATCAATGACCCTCGCAATGAAAAAAACACTGACTGTGAAGCTGAAGCTGTACGTACGAGTTAAATCATAACGTCCGCTTCGGGCTCATGCAGAGGTCGAAAGTTTCGGGTGTAGCAGTAGCACCCGTTGCTCAGGCCATCGCCGCAGCTAGTAGTTGAAGCTACGACTCCAACACCCGGGACTTTGAGTCTCTGAGCCCGAAGCCCGGACGGTATGTCTACATACCCGTAACTTGTTTTTCAGCACAGAGATAATACAGAAAAATACTCGAAGATCATTATAAATTGTGTTGCTGGATTGAGGTATGGACCGTTGTTCTTTTTCTCCCAGGATTCAATTATTCCGACTTGTGAATTTCAGGTAAAGAAACAAAAAGGGACCTTGATGTTCTCCCAAAATGTAAAAGCCCTTACGCGAACAATATAAAAAAGTAGCTATTTTGACCTGTAAGTAAGTGTCACGGTAAAATGTATCATCGTAGAGTAAAATGGTCATACAATCGTCAAGGTAGAGCTCCGCAATCTTTTTCACCAAGTCTAAAACAGGAACGTCTCCTTTGACAGTCTCTGTGACATTCTGTAATAAAGTAGCACAGACCTGCGATAATGAAAGCAATTAAAATGAGAGAATCCTAAAAGAGCCACAGTTCTCAGTGCTCATAAGAAAGATTTATTTTCCGTAGTGATTCCTATTTCACGACAGGATATGAACAGTGGCACTCGTAGTTTTCGTTTTGCGCCAGGATGGGTCTGTTGCGCTGGTCACAGAATCCTGTTTTGATGTTTGATTCTTGTGGATTAGCTGAAATAGTAAGATCTGTTCAAACAGCAACTCTCCAGGTTCAATATTACCCGAGATATCGCGCTTTGAAAAATTCGTTTGTTGACGTCATCCACCGCTGTCATGACGCTCCAGGTCTCTTCCATCTTGCTTTCATTTGTCAGGAAGACACACATCTGCACTGGTTACTCAGCATTAAACTCGAATGAAAGCAAGGTGAAAGAAACTAAGGGTATCATTACTGCGAAAGATGACGTTATATGTAGACCGAATTATTCAAAGCGCGACATCTTGAATATTGAGCGTAGAAAGTTGCTGTTTGAACAGACCTTTTTATTTTTAGTTGATCTACAAAAATCAAACACCAAAACACGTCAGTGAAAACACCACCCGGCAGCAACTTCTGAGAAATGTTAGTTCATTTTCATTATACTATCTACAGGATGAGCGGACAGGCTTGTCCGGGTACTATTAGCCCGATTTTACTATACCCGCACTTATGTGTAATCGGGATCATTCTAACTCAAATAGTAGGACGGTCCAAAATTAATTTTGTCTTTGAATTGAATGAAAAATGGTCCCTAATTATAGCTCTCGTAGTGCTTTCCTCATTTTTTCTTCTCTTACTGGTGTCAATTTTTTTTTTTTTTTTTTTTAAATAATTATCAGCTAATCATTCAATCCATGTGTGCCAGTAACCTCCTATGCAAAGAGCCTCCCAATATAATGGCAGATTTTCACCCCTTTTTCGGTATTCGATTCGACCATCGAACCGAGGTTTCAGTGCAAGCTTATACTAACAGAAAAATCAGGAAAAAATTTCAAGATGAGTAAAGGAACCGTTTTCGAGTTACGGGTGGGCAAAGGGGTCAAACTCCGCCCTTAATCTTCACTATATTCTTGTTGAACTGATGTGTCTTCGGGGTTGTTATCGTTGTTTACACATGTTATACACACCGGTTCCTACGTATTTTTACACGCAAAATTGAGTTTTACTGTTGACGAGTACATAAATTGATCGGTTTTATCGATTTTTTAAGATTCTTCACGGAAAATTGACGATTTTAAATAAAATAAATGATATATTTGTATTGAAATTGGTTATTCTCTATCCGAGAAAAACCAAATTTTGGGTTAGAACACCTTTCCGGTCGGGTAGAAATTAAGATTTTCAATTTCAAGTCAAGTGAAATTTCGGGTGGATAACTAATCCCCCTGATTGCGGTTTCCAGTCGGTCAGATATCCAGCCGCAGCCCCGGGCATTAGCTCGTTAGGTGCAAGGTAGGCGGCCCCCGGCTTAGGCTCCTTAGTTGCAAGGGGGCTGGCCCCCGGGTTGGGCTTCTTAGTTGCACAGGGGGTTGGCCCCCAGCTTAGGCTCCTCAGTTGCCAGGGGGCTGGCCCCCGGCTTAGGCTCCTTCCTTGCCACGGGGGCGAACCCCGCCTTTGGCTTTTTAGGGGCCAGGGGGCTAGCCCCCGGGTTAGGCTCCTAAGATGCCAGGGGGCTGGCCACCGGCTTAAGCTTCTTAGTGTTCAGGGGGCTGGCCCCCGGCTTCGGCTTTTTAGTGTTCAGGGGGCTCGACCCCGGCTTCGGCTCCTTAGGGTTCAGGGGGCTCGACCCCGGCTTCGGCTCCTTAGGGTTCAGGGGGCTGGCCCCCGGCTCCGGCTCCTTAGGGTTCAGGGGGCTCGCCCCCGGCTTCGGCTCCTTAGGGTTCAGGGGGCTGACCCCCGGCCTTGGATCCTTAGTGTTCAGGGGGCTCGTCCCCGGTTTTGGCTCCTTAGGGTTCAGGGGGCTCTCCCCCGGCTTTGGTTTCCTTTGGGTTCAGGGGGCTCTCTTCCGGCTTTGGTTCCTTAGGGTTCAGACGGCTCGCCCCCGGCTTTGGCTCCTTAGGTTGCAGGTGGGAGGCCCCCGGAGTGTTGGGCTTTTGGACGACTCTGCTGTGTTTCATACCCCGTATCCTGAAGTCAATGAATCGCCTTCAAATGGCCGGGTATGCAAAATGACTACCATGAAGCACGAATAGTGGTATCAGAATTTTGCATTAAGTTTATGGGTAGATTTGAAGGCGCTCTTCTGTATCCATTTTGAGTGGTCTTGTACAACGATGTTTACCAAAAACTTCAAAATTTTGGGTTTTAAATCGAGGCTCACGTTCGAAATTGTCGAGGAATAATAATTTGAAATAATAATAAGATTGTTTTTGGTCTCTCCGTCTCACTTCAAAGAAGAGAGCGCCTGGAGGCGGCTGGATCAGATTGTGTATTTTAAGTCCCTTGGTTCGGTTATTGTATTCTGAAGCGAAACTGAAAGAGTCGCCGTTTACAAGATCGCAACTTACTCAAAAGCGGTTTTTAATTTACAAAACTTCGCACGGATAAAATGAGCTTTCGTTGGTTAACTGTTAATAATCGAATTTGAAGAAAAGGTACTGTGTCCACTGGTCCATTGTGCAAGCGTAAAGCATGGATGGATGGAGCATCAATCACCAACTAAATCTTATCTGATAAGGAATTTTAAGTGTGAAATCCATTTTTCAGTCTTTAAATGATCCAAATCCACCAACAAGTTTAAAACACTAATTGCAAAAATGCGTATCTTATAATGTAGTGTCGATTCTTATAGTGCCAAAAACGCAAATCTCGGCATTTCAGCCGTATTTTCTAACAGTTCGAGAAATTATTAAAACCGCTGTTGGAGTTTTAAGAAACATCTTATTCTTGCTATCCTCAAGAATTATTAACCTTCTACAGAGGGGTAACCTCTAAAGAGGAATTCAGACAGTTTTTTTGCTCTCCTGGAAAATCGTGTTTTCCGAGAATTGTTTTTCTGATCTTTCACCATCGATAACCAAGGTAGATTAACACAGGCATGGACAAGTTGAAAATCCGGCCTGTGATTGGCTCTCTAGTGTCCCCTTAACGACCGCCATTTTTATGCTTTCATTATTGCGATTGGTTGGTGATTTATTGGTTATGTTTCTCCAATTTGGTAATAATTCGTTACTTAAGTTTACTACCTTGATCGATAACGTGCTTTAGTATTGATCAATTAACATTTACACTGGTAGTGATTGTGATTGTTCATTCAGTATTTTTTTTTCTCATTAATTTCTTCACAAACATTCTCTGGTATATATGTTACAGGTAATTGGCAATCGCCGGCAAATTGCAATCTATTCGTGTTTAATCAACAAATTAAATCGTTTTAAAGTGACAAAACGAGATTGGAAGTAGGGATTATTATGCTTTGAATTCAAACGTACGTTAACCCCTACTTCTTGGATACATGGTGCCAGCTAGCACACTCGCGAGTTCGTGAAATGTCATCAATAATCTGTGTTAGGTTCGGTTAAGCAACTAAACTAATTACTTGGCAATGCGGAGAGTATCAATGGATTTGAAGGCGTAAAGAAATCTTTACTATATCGATGTAATCGTAATTAAAATTTGACGAATCGACAAGTAAGGAGCTTGCAAATTGCCGGCGGTTGCTGATTCCCTACGACTTATACTCTGATAAAGATTTCACAGATTTGTATTTCTATCATTAAGTTTACATGTACTTTTCTCTCTTTTAATCAGCATGTGTGTTTCTTTTTTGTTTCTGGTGCATCCCTCGGGATTCTTGGATTCAAAAATCGATGATCTTCCTGGACATCGCAAATCGTCAATTAAAAAATTGGGATCGTTTAATTAAACGGGACACTTGATTCACTTAACTGAATCTTTAAATTAACTGGAAACTCTTGACCACAAAGCCTACTCAACCAAAAACCTGTCTAACCCTGCCAACTAAAACTTTACTCAACCCGGTGATCTTACCCACCGGAAATTCAAATCAATCGACCAATCGTCCGGCCGAATTTTACTTAACCGGAAATCGACAACCGTAAACTCTGCTCGACCGGAAACGTGCTCCAATCGAAAACTTGACCCAACTGGAAATTTGATCCAATCTGAAATCTGAACCATCCCAAAATTCCAATTCACTGGAACCGTAATCCATCCGTATTTGACGTGACCGGACATTAACCCAACTGGAAACTGTTTCCAACCGGTAACGTGTCCCTGTCGAAAATTTGACTCGACTGAAAATTTGATTCGATCGGAAATCCGACCGACCGGAAACCACAATCAACGGGATTCGTTATCCACCCGAAATTTCACTTGACCGGAAATTGAAAATCTTAATTTCTACTCGACCGGAAATGTGCCCCAATCGAAAACTTGACTCAAATGGAAATCGACCTGACTGGAAATATGTTCAACCCAAAATTTGGTTGTTCTTGAATGGAGAGTAACCAATTTCAATTCCAATATATCATTGATTTCCCTAAAAAATCGCAAAAATTCGGTAAAAGCAATTGATATATCAACTCGTTTCCGATAAAAATCGATTCTACAAAAAAAAATACGTAGGTGTCGGTGTACTACAGTCATATTAGGTGCATTTAGTCATCCATGAATCAAAAATGAACAATTTCAATCTCAAAAATCGTCGCAATTTTCCGTAAAGAATCTTAAAAAATCGATTTAACCGATCGCTTTATGTACTCGCCAACATTAAAACTCGATTTTGCGTGTAAAAATACGTAGGAACCGGTGTGTATAACATGTGTAAACAACGATAACAACCCCGAAGACACATCAGTTCAACAAGAAAAAATAGCGAAGATTAAGGGCGGAGTTTGACCCCTTTGCCCACCCGTAACTCGAAAACGGTTCCTTTACTCATCTTGAAATTTTTTCCTGAGTTTTCTGTTATTATAAGCTTCCACTGAAACCTTGGTTCGATGGTCGAATCGAATACCGAAAAAGGGGCAAAATTTTGGGAGGCTCTTTCCTACAGTAGTAAGATTTTATGAATCATTTTATGCGTAGGTACTTACGAGAAAGGAGAAATCCCATTCCACAGCCGCAAACGACGAATTTAGTGTGAAATATATACAAATAAACACGGAAATCTTCATTACTGAAAGGACGGTGTTGCACAGATGGATGTAAACATTTCGGAGAATAAGAAACGGTTCTAGAAAGAGACCAAATGGACCTAAAATTCAGCCCATTTGAGACTAATTTTTATGAGCTCATCGCTATTAATGTGACATATTTCCTTAGGCTTTGTCCATTCCTTCCCCTTGATATAAAATTCAATTACATATCTGAGTCACCCCTGCATGTGGGAGGGGGTTGGGGGGAGGTCGCAAAAGGCCAGGCATCGAATTGAATTGAGTTGTAATCGAAGCCACGCGAAAAGCTATTTTGTTTCTAAGTATAACGTGTGATAATCTAACATTTGTGTAAGAGTGGTCTGTGGTGGATCACCACTCATTGGCTATTTTCTGAGATCAATATTCATTGAATGCGTTTAAATATAAGGCTTTATGTATGCGTGATATTTGTCCTATTTGTTGGCTTGCATTGTTTCCGACATACACGCAAGAAGAAAATGCTTGGAGATATGTTGCCTTAAAACTCATTCTCTGGCCCATAGCCTCTGTTTCCACTCGGTACCCTTTCTGTGATATTTTCACTTCATCAATATTCATTATTTAATATGTTTTAGTTTTTTTAGTGGGCGGTATTTTTTTTTTAAATAATACTTGTTTCTTAAATTATACACTTCTAGTCATAATCTGATTTTCGATTAAGAATTTTGCTGGGCTGGAATTTTTTAGGGATGCAGAGAGTTCTTCATAGCGTATGCTTTCGGTAGCAAAACACACATTCTCCCTACGCACAACTACACAGCACGGTCGGAGTACTTTTAGCAGAAAAATTTCTGCGGTCGAGTTATTTCTGGCAAAATAAAATCAGCGCGGTCAAATAATTTCAACAAACAAACAAAGAGAAAAAAAGTGCAGCCTAGGTAATATCAATGAAACACTATTGCAGCTGCAGTAATTCACACAAAAATCCGTGTGCGAGCAGTATTTTCTCCATTTTTATTAGAAGCAAAAGATTTGAAAAGGTTATCAGAAAAAAGGATGCACTCCTAACAATTCTAATTCGCTAACTTCTCGAACTTGCGAGCAATGAAAGGCGCGCCCGCGCGCACCGTATATATAGCGCCTTCAACATCGCGGAAATACTTCAAACGTTACACCGTTACGCCGATTTCCCGCCGTGCAAATTGCCTATCTGCGCCTTTCGGAGTGTTTTGAGGCGCATATCCACAGTTTACAAGCGATCCACGGTTACATTACGGTATTAGGTTCACAGATAGAGCGATCGAGCACATTCTGTAGGTCTGGTAATTTAGTAGAAAACACTTCGCTCCTTGATGACAGATAAGTACTTGTTAAAAATTTAAACCCGCTTTGATTTATATTTACACTATTTCAACACGGTAATCGAGTCACATTCCGACGGTGAAACCACCAGACCACATATCTCGGTTTGCGACGTTGTATATATTTATGACGCTGTCATATTTTATTTTTTAAATAGAAAATTACTCAACGTCAATTTTTAAAAACTGCGGTGTATTTTCTTCGATGTGCGAAGACAATTCTGTGGAATTTTTTAAGAAAATATGATTATTTTTTCCTCTACAAAAAAATAAAATTTGAGCGAAAATATTTAACACCGCAAACGAGATACGTGGCCTGGTGGTTTCACCGTTAATTTGACTCTGCATTCAAATCGATGAGCTAAATCATTGATTTCAGCTTCTCTACACTTTTGATCCCCTATATCTGAGGTTGCTTGTGTCAAATATTTTCAACAATTTTAATGTACTTTTTAAACTAGATGTTTATTTCATCATATTTGAATCGAAATGATCTGGCGGTCATCCGTTCTTTAATGCATCCAACTCCACACTGAATTTTAATTTTAAACGCTAAAAATTTAGACACTTTTTGTATATGTGCCGTCATATCAGGATTTAACTTAGTTGTTGAACCTAGGACTTAATCGCATTGGTCGTCGCCTGAGAATGTTGCCCCTTCATTTCGTTGAGGAGTTGATTTTGAGACAGTTATAATAGTCCCTTTTTTGAGAAGCCAAATCAAATGAAAGAATTCTTTGTTTTACAATAATTTGTTCTTTAATGTGAAACTATATAAACCCTAAGATGATATATATTATCAGATTACAATTCTGAACATTTAAGAAGTCCTATTTTCGCATTAAGTTTAAATCTTAAATACAATTATTTTAATATTTAATTTTTGAAAAATATAAACTAATCGAATCAAATGATTATATGAAGCTACAGTATAAATTTGCTTCCGGAATAGGTGTGAGGATTAAGCCTAAAAAACTGACAATGATTGTGAGAAATAGCTATCTCCATTTCAGCCCTACCTCCTGCCTCAGCTTGAAGAGTCATTAACATGTCCAGTTTTGCTTTACATTTATACTCATCGCATGGGTATAACTCATAAAACCCTCAGTCTCGCAATTTCATTGTTTCGTTGATTTAAAAAAAATAATATGAAATGGTCCCCTTCCAAATGAGTTGATTTAACCGCTCTCAGTAGGCGAACCTGGACCATTCCACCTCCAGTTAGGTTCTGTGAGGTTTAGGACTTTTACTTTATTTTTAAATTCATAACTTGCCCTTTCAACATACTCTCATTTTTTCTTATTTTTCATATTTTGATATGTTCGGTGATTATATATGAAATTATTAAGAAATGTAGAGGCCCTTTGAGAATGACAATTTAAATGTACGAGTATTATAAGTTTACCCGTAAATCTAATTCAAATGAAGTGAATAGTTTTATTGTAGATCTGAGTTCACCCTCCAATATTTCCTACTTTTGAAATTTTGGATCTTTATAGGGCTTTTAATGTTGACTCAGTTTATAACAGGGATATTTTTAACTTTTCCTTATGCAGCTAATGTAAGGGTTGCTTTCGGTAGAGTAATCCACACTATGCGAGATGTTAATAGTATAGTATAGTAGGTGATTTCTTCGTTATGTTCATATCAATGGCCCTTGCCTTTTGAAAGTGTTGCATTCACAGTTGCTTAGCGAATAGAATAGCTTTTTGGTGAATGCTGACGACCCTGTCAAATACATGATCGTCCGTGTGATCCCGTTCGTAAGGGACCTCGACCATATTTTTGAAGTTGTGTTTCTTGGCGATGCGTTGGGTGAATACCGAGGTGCCGAGCGTGCACGCCACCTCGGCGACGCGTTTCGATTTGACGTACTCCAGAGAGAGAGTGAACAGATCCTGGGCGATACCTCGCTTTCGGTAAGCCGGACTCACCCCTAAAAATACCAGCTCCACCATTCTATCCACGTTGAATGCTCCCAAGACGTCGACCTTATCGTCTATCTACAACATGAGAGAAATACATGGAAGCCTCAGTGATGTGGTATGCTTTGCTGTGTATTGATTCAGGGTCCGCTTATCGCACAGGCTAGCCAGGCTAAAGCTTGGGGCACGAGCTTCTTGGGGGCGCCAAATTTTGAATTTTATCGAGACTATGAAGGGGAAAGAAAAGAAAATCCTCGTCATCAGGAGCGGAAAAAATGAGTGGAATATAAGTCTATGCGCCTCGTGCCCCTTCTCTGGACCCGAAGGCAAATAGGAAAGAAGCAGGAGGGGGGGGGGGCAAAGAAATCATTAGCCCGTGGCGCCAGATTCCTTAATCGGGCCCTGTATCGATTGATCTACATTCATACCTATAGAAAAGGATAGATACACAGAGTGTTGGCAACGAACGCCTTGAAAATCGATTATTTACCGCGAGGGTGGAATTCGATCGACATAAATCCATCGAAAGATGAAAACGTGAATCGATCGACAAATTATAAAAAAAATCCGGTGTCGATTCGATCGACATGGATTGATCGAAAAACAAAAACGTGAATCGATCGACAAACCTATGGGTCGATCGAATCAGTGACGATGGAATCACGTTGATTGGTTCACGTTTTCGTTATTTGATCGATTCATGTCAATCGAATCGACATTTGTTTTTTAATAATTTGTCGATCGATTCACGTTTTCATTTTTCGGCCGATTTATGTCGATCGAATCTGTATCTTCCCCTTATACAGCTGCAAATGGGGAAATGTCGTTAATTGACCAATCACGCCTCACCACTGGAAAGCCTAGGGTGCAATCAGGGCCGCAAGGAGCTCCATCGCACTGTCTCACATTTTCTCATTTTTTGAAAAAAAGTTTAAACTCATATTTTTATGCGTAGCGATTGGATTTTCGCAGCAAATTTTGAACAGAAAATATTTTAGGATTATAGTCTTAGTTAAAATCACTTTAACTAATAAGTATCTCAATTCCTTCAAAACCGCGAACCTCTGCGCCTTGTCCTCCAAGCCCTTCGTTAGTATACTATGGACGCAATTATGCAGATAGTAACTGCGTAAAAGATTTACTTACTTCGGCCATATAATCGATCAGACCTATAGATCTTGCATTTTTGCATCCTCTTTTGAATTTTTCAAAAAAAGGTAGCTCTCCTGGCTTTGTTTTTTCCTGGAAAAATGAAAAAATATCAAAGTGGTAAATTGAAGTAAATCGGGATGCCTACATCAGGATAAAACTACATACATGTATGGAAAACCACATTGGGACCATAACCATTCAAATGGGGATAAAAAGTGTTACATCAAGATAGAAAAAGGATGAACAGGAATAAAACGAAAATAATCAGGATATCCCCTAATAGAGTGCCGCCGATTTCATCCTGTCGTCATAATACTTAGTCAAATGTGTATGCCATGCATGTCTTCCTTAGGGGCCGTCCCTAAACTACGTCACGCTCTAGGGGGGGAGGGAGGGGTTGAGGAGAGCTTTACGCCATTTTGTTTTTACGTACTAAAGGATAGAGACCTACGTCATAAAAGCGTTACAATAGGGGAGAGGGAGGTCAAACCTGCCGGAAAAAAGCGTTATACATAATTTGAGGAAAGCCCCTACCTACCATTTCCTGTTCAAATCCAGTATCATTAGACACCAACTAGTAGATACGACGATCTTTTAAACTTAAAGTGTAATAAACAGATATCTCCTGCATATAGTATGGTTGAAAAAAATAAAGAATAGGTAATGAAGAAAGTTTCTTCATTACCTATGCTTTATTTAAGAAACAGGAAGTCCAAATATTGGATCCGCATTTTTACACGCTTCCAATACAAGCTGTGACCAAATACGCGGTCAAATATGAGGAAGTGCGCCTTTGGAGTCCAAGTAGCACAGACTGCAATAGGTAGCAATTGCATAGTAAAAATATTGCAATTATTCCACTGAGTGTTGTGTATGTTGCCTAGCTCCTATTTGAAGGGGCCCCGTTTATTGAAACTTACTGCAATAAAATTAAGTTGCAATTCTTCATTGCATGGCATATTGCCTATCTTTCTGACACGTGCAGTTCATTTTTTTGATTTGTTTAAAATCGGCATAAATCGACTATATGATGTAAAAATATTGCAATTAAATGGTAAAAAAAATACGATTTTACTGAAATCAAATTGCAATTTAATTTCAATATTTTCATTGCACTGTGCTACTTGGGAGTGAGACAACGTAACTACCTGTATTTTATTGAACAAGACTCCGACAACGCGGTCGGTCTGAGCGCTGACGGCAATGACGGAGATTTCATCTTTGGCTGTTTCTGCCATGAGGAGGTTCAGCTCCTGGATGGCCTCCTCGTCCTCAGACACACGGTAGTAAAGGGAGGTGGCCGGCTCATCCGGATAGAATCCCTCGACCAAAACGGCCAACGCGTCCTTAAGACGGTCCTCCTCCAGAACATAATAAAATATTTCCTGGTCCTTCGATTGCCCCAACAACGTGCCCGCTGTCCTAGATCGCTCTGTACGACAGCAGCTCTGTAACAGGATTCACGGACTTAAAGTATCGAGGAGGGAATTTAGCGAATTCAGATCATATAACCCTGTCAGCAGGCCGATCATTGAAATTGATAGACAAAGCTATAGACAAAGAAGACAAAAGGGATATAGAGGGAGCCTATTGTAGTGGAAGCTGGTGGTTGCAATGGACAAAGGCAGTAGGTAATAGACTAACTAACGGCAGCCCACGAGAAACGCGACATCATGTTCTCCCTTAGTCTATAAGAACCACACATTTCAACAAATAGGATCGCTCCAAACCCCTATGTCTTCTTTGTCTATAGCTCTGTCTATCGATTTCAATAATCAGCCCGCTGGGTACCTGGCGCTGGCGGAGAACCCCCCAGCTGGAAAAGGGGAAGATCCCGTGGGGCCTCCCCCGAAAATTTTCAAAATTGAAGGTAATACTTAGAAATGCAATTTTGAGCTTTCTCAGCTTTGATTATCTCGCGGAAATACCTTAATTTTCAGATTTCTGCATGAGTTACAAAAGTTACACACATATTCAGATGAGAGAAGCCCCTTCAAATTGGTAAAACGCAAAAACTGTGCTGTGCGTGCACATATACCTACACGTTAATCACTCACTTTCACAAGTCAAAAGCATACTTCCGATTTGTCAATTAATTTATTTCCAATTCATTTCGAGAAGCGTCAGCTACAGAAAAAAATTCATGTGAACTTTCCGTAATAAAATATTAACCTCATGATCGCAGCGTTAATGGCCAAAAATTGACCTTATTTTATGACTAATGTGGCGTTGATGAAAGCTAAAATCCTTTCAAATATACAAATAAGTCACGCATTTGGGGGAGGAAGAGGGTGTGGCCCACAGGAATACAATCTCAAACTTATTTAGCCAAAACACTGTATTTATATTGACAATAAACAATTTATTTATACAAGCTTGCGCGTTTCGGGAGTTCTCCCATCTTCAGAGCATTCACGAATAGAGGATACATGTACTAAGCACTATTACATGGGCATACATTTAAATACATTAATATAAATTTAAATACAGGAATACAGATGGATGCGAGTAAGGGGTCTGATACTGCGCTGACATGCGAAGTCGCAAGAGAGGATACGCATTTTCAGTTCCACCTCCGATTTTGCGAGCAAGTCGGTAGAGAAAGGGGGGAAACAGATCCCCGCGGAATTTTAACACCCCAATGAGCACGGTCCTCGTAACTTCAATATTACTTTGTCTTACGATAGACCTGCTCTTATATAATATTTGTTTATTTTTACACCTTTCAGTTTCGAAATAATTGAGGGGCTAGGAGGACAAGGCGTATAAGTGGAGTTTTTGAAAAAATTGAAATATTAATGATTTCAAGTAACACTAGTCTTAATATGTATTGTGTGAAAAATTCGCTTCCAAATCCAATTTTTAAGCATCAAAAAGTCAGTTTGAACTTTCTTTCCGCCATGAGGATCCATGTATGATTTCGGAACATTAAACAGGTATTTCTCGCAATAGCAGCAATTGCACGTATGTGCCTTGTCCCTTAAGCCCCTTATTTACTGCAGGTCCTTGATGTCAAATACCTACAATGTGAAAAAAAGAGAATAATTTTCAATACCATTTTGCCGAGCTCAAATCCAAACAACGGACGAATTCCACCCAGAAAACAAAGAAAACTATCCCGATACTCGCAACTGGAAAAAGAGACAGTTCCACAGCGTTAAACCACTTCAATTGACACGTTGATTTTTCTGGCCTCATCCACCAAACGACTCGACAGAAACTCTTGTGACTCTCAGGTGGAAAAAAAAAATTCCACAGTGCTGAACCTCTCAACGAACACAATGGAATTCGCGGTTTCGCGAACTAAACGACTTTACAGTGAGGCTACTGAACTGGTAGCGCCAAACACACTCTGAACTTTAAACGAATTTTAGGTCTCCGTGGGAGTGTCGTGTATGATAACTCCAAAGTTTTGGAACAGCTCAAAAATGCGCTTCATTCAATTAAGTACTTTTACTATCTTACACTATTAATTTCATCTGGAGTATATATATTGGATGTCTAATCAGAATCAGGTCAACTACAATAACACCAGTGAGTGCTTTGCGATACATCGATTGATTTGTCATTTAAACCTATGAAAAAGGACCGATAGACAGGGTGTTCGCAACGAACACCTTATTAATCGATTATTTACCACAGTTTCTAATGGGGGAATATCGAAAATCGATTATTCATGCCTCGCCACTGATTGACACGTTGCCTGATTATCTTTTCCTGCTTTAATGTTTCAGGAAACGAAGCACTATCATATGCCTTGAAATATGGAGGGAAACGTGTCTCTAATTTTCTTATTAAAAAAAATTTAAAAAAAATAAAATATAGAGGAAAAAATAGACGACGACGGCGTGCAGTGTAGCAAAGGTTGATTCTGGATAGTGTCACATAATTTATTTACAGACAACACGAACAAAATCATGACTTGACAGAGACTGGAGGAAAAAGAATAAATAACTACTCAGATAATAAGTAAGATGATAAACACTCGTACTCCAGTAAACCGAGATTTTGAAGAAGTGTCCTCTCTTAAAGTCGCATACTCCTGGAATATCAGTATGAGTGAACTCCGCTGCACTCCCCACCACCTCGAAAAAGCTTCTGCTTTCAGACTTTCCGCTGCCTGAAATTGGAAAATGCGTATCTCCAGGGCAACCAAACCTTCAATATTATTTTTTAAAAAAATCATATTACCCAAAATATATGTAAATCCCATAATTTTTTTGAAAAAGGAAATGTTGGTTGCTTTTATAAGAAAAATAAATAATAAAAAACTAAATAAATGAAACATCAGAGGAGACTTGCAGCATCGCATTCAGAGACAGAGGATGAGGATGGAGGAAGATTAGACAAGAAGTGAAGAAAACAAAGTAAAGATATTTTTGAAGAATTCAAAGAAGTAAACATGCACCTCAGAATACAAGAGCCAGTGAGATTTGCTGCACAGTCACGATAAATTGAACATCGGTGCTACTAGACGCTGAGATCATACATATCTTAATTGCAGCGTTTCAAAATGTTTGCTCCTATTTTCTTTTTCTCCACACGAAAACTGAACGACTGCATTCCTCAACATTTCTATGTATGTGTGCAAGTAAAATAACTGATTTTAGGTACAGCAACCTGCCTCCGAGAATCGATAGATGTAGATTATATGGATATATTTATGCTATTAGGAACTATGTTACACGGAAACCCTATGCGCATATAGTTCCTTTTAGCATAAATACGTCCATATTACGCACGTAAATGAGCTAGCCCAATGTTGCCAACTTGCGAGAACTGCTACTAGTTATAACGCCTAGAAATGCCTGAATACAACTATTCGTCCTCAAGGGCTATCGGTGTTGCCTATGCAAAAAATTGAAGGCGTTCAGATTTTTCCTTGCCCTTGCCGTTACTATACGAATCGGAGTGTCCTAAGCACTCTGCGTTCTTGTTCTGTCGTTATAACATATGAATGGCCAAAATCGATAAATAAGTATCTCCATCGAAAAGTTTCAAAATCTTAATTAACTTTTTTATGTTTTTGAAAGCAAAATAATTTAATTATACCATCAAAATTTTCTGTAAAAAATATTGAAGGAGTTAAGAAAATTCACAGAGAATTACAAGACAAAGCTGTGTTAGTTTTCTTTAAAATAATGTGAACGCACTATTGCAACGCCACAATCGGAGATACGTATTTTTCCGACCTCAGCCATCAGTACATATCGACGGCGTAAGTACGCAATCACATATCTTGTTTGCGGTGTTTGAAAATCTCCACCACTATGTTATTTTCCTAAAGGAGAGCAAATTGACATCATTACTTGAAGTTTTTGCCGAATTTTTTTCGCACAGAGGTCGTTTTCCATTTAAAAAATAAAGTATGACAGGAAGTCTGCGACGTCGCAAACCGAGTTATGATATTGCCGACTTACACCGTCGATTTAGGTTTTCCTATTGTGACCATTGTACCCATTATGATACCTGTTACTTTTATAATGATAATGAAGCGGGATAAAATTGAAATGGTGGAAAGAAACCCACTCAGGGACAGGTTTTCATAATTTAGCTCCTTGGCCAGTCAATTCCACCTCAGTGACGCATTTCGTTTCATATCATCACGTTCAAAAGCGTTTTCGTAAGAATTTGCTGGTATTTACTGAGGATTGCTTAAAATTTTAACATTCTACCTTCAGTGCGAAAGAAAAAGACGGTAACTCGGCCCTTATCAGCTGCATACCGAAACAAGCCAGGCTATCCGCCTTATTCTGCCGTGCTAAGGAAGAACGCCGTATGAACATTCGAGAGTTGCCAAATTACCCTCCAAAAACATACAATTTTGACAACATTCATGCATATTTCTCCTTGAAATTGTTGGATATTTTAAATTACGTACAAAATTGTCCGAAAATTTTGGATAATAATATTCACAATTTTTCGAGTAATTTCGATTTTTATCAGAAAAAACTTGGCAATGTCTTAATGCTCATACGGTGTTCTTCCTTGGCACGGCAGTATTAGAGGCACGCTTTGTAAATGTCCAGATAAGATGGATTACGCAGTGTTCTGTATCCGGTATGTAGGGCTTAGCAATTACGACTGATAAAAATCTAAATATGATTTTTCTTTGTTTCTTTCTTTCTTTCTACTCGTATTTTCATTCATTTGTCAACCAGGCTCGGACTGACCATAAGGCCAATCTGCCATTGGCAGATACGTCCCCTTGATGCGCAGAAAACGTGCCCCTCTGACAGATAGCAAAATAAGGAGAGAAAAATAATTACGACCGAGAATATATGCGGAAAATTTCTTAAATGAATGGAAGAAGAGAGAGTTAGGAGTAAAGAGAGGTGCATTCACGCAATTTACGGTCGTGAACTCGCAATGATCTGCTCTATGCTATACTAGTTTGAAGAATCATTACGAACAAGACGAACGCAACCAAACACAGTGTGGAAATAAAGCGAGGGAAAGGATGCAAGTTAACGACGGCGCAGAGATACAACTATTCGTACTTGATGGACGTCCGTGCTGCATCTGAGGAATTGAAGGCGCGATGACGCGAAGCGTAAGCTCTACATACTCTGCTATATGCTGTCAATGAGGTGTCGCTCAGATTCGGGAGAAAAGTTGTAAAAGAGGCCTGAACACATCTCTCCTACCTTCGGCTTTGTTACTCACGAAGTGTTCGAAGCACCATTACGAATAAGACAAACGGAAACAAACAAAATATGGAAATAGAGGGAGGGAAAGGATGCGCGTTTACGACGGCGCAGAGACACAACTATTCGTACTTGATGGACGTCCATGCTGCATCTGAAAAATTGAAGGCGCGATGACACGAAGCGTGAGTTCTCAATGCTCTGCTATATGCTGTCAATGAGGTGTTTCGGAAGAAAAGTTAAAAAAGAGGCCCGGATACGTCTGTCCTGTCTTCGGCTGTGTTGATAATCGTTATCTTTCTTCTTTTTTCAGTTTCTTGTCTGATTCTTTTTCAGGATAGATTTGCAGACCCACGTCCTAAGCTCGTGTAAACCACAGCACTGGCTCGGTTCTTTTAGAAATAACAGTTCTTGGATGCGTGTAATGGCTTTAATTTTTTATGTTTTCTTAATTTCAGAAGTCTGTCGGTTACTTCAATACGTTCAATTTTGCAAGTTTTATACTCTGTACGATTAATAAACTATGCGTCTGAAAATAGCGTAAACTTATTCTGCTTTGCCAAAATTTTCTGAACCCCTCTCCAAGTAGGGTAGATGCACTATCAGGAAATATTACATGATGCTCTTTAACCAGCCAAGGGTCTACGCCCTCAGATGCGAGCCAGTCCGACCCTGTTGTCGACGTCTATCTTATGACATTATAAAATTTGTGAATAAGTCGACTTCAACATTCATAACCAAATCCAACCTCTAGCAATTCAGGAAAATCATTCCGAAAAAAACCGCTCAATTAGAAAAAAAGAAGAAAAAAAAACTATTCGAGTCATTAGTTTGTTTTTATGTGACGAATTCTGTGGGAAGATTTTGCAAAACGTTTCCTCTTATACGAATCGTTTCCCATGCTAAATTTTTAAGAGGCGTCGGTTCCCTCCTCTAATTGACACTACTTATACCTGACCGGTTATAATTTCAAAATTTTAATCATGGGAGAAATTACTGCAACAATTAACCCAGTAACAGATTAATTACCTCGCTCAATACGGGGAAAATTACTTGTAAAACGATTCACTGAACAAAAAACTCTAAACATTATCTACAAATGATCAATTGTTGAATCGCATGAACTTTCCTTTCATGCAAGGTTTTCCAGAGGAAAATGGGATCCCTGCATGACTGACATATCTCTGCACCCATTGTAAATGTCTAGATTTTACAACCTGGGCGCTCTCTAACGTTATAGAGTAAGCACGAAGTATGTAAACTTTACATCATCCTGTTAGCATTGCATTTTTTTAAATAAAAATTAATGCTGGCCTCCATTTTGCTTTCTTCCTAAAGATTAATTAAAACGGAATTAACAACACTGGTCCTCAGCCAAAATGAAGCAAGACACTCGGATGGTGATGTCACATTAGATGGACTGAATACATCTAATGACACTAAATTTGAGTGGGAGACTTTGGAATAAAGATAGAATATTTCCCGGGCCGAAAAGGAGTTGTATTGAGAACTTTGGAATATCACAAGAATTACAGATTAGTCACACTTAATGAAATACACCTGAAGGACTAAAAAGGCGGTACGTGTGTACACACGGGTATAGGATTGAGTGGACCAAGAATAAGGGGCAGCACACGCTTTTATGGACTCGATGACGTAGCGGGTGATGAGACTTCAAGTGTATATACGCGATTGGCTGGCTATAATCAGTGGAGCTATCAGTTGCAAGTCTAATCATTAATTTTATGGGTGATGACTGGATGATAGGACTGAAAAGATGAAAAATGAACAGAATCCATCCATCCGTAATGACTAGTCTGAATTTAAATGAAAATTGGGAATTTAAGAAAAAGAGAGAAATTGGACGTTTTGGTGCTGAAGGGACACGCAATAGGTGCCTAATAGTAGTTGTTTAGCACTGGCAAATAGTCAGAGAATACAATCCGTTTTTCCCACACCCACAAATTTTCCGAAAATTGAAGTTTTCTTGAGGACCAGCAGGATTTTTAAAAAAGTTGATACATGCCCATAACGGTTATTGAGTTGGGTGTGGTGCAGCACGCTGCAAGTTCGACTTCAATAATCGTGATGGCAATATGAATGGTTTGGAAGCACCAACAGTTGCGCGCAGTGCGCAGTGGTTTAGTCATTTTCGTCTTGTCGGGGCAAGGAACACGCGTTCTCAATGAGAACGCGCGAATGAGAACTTCTCATTCTCCCGAGCTCGCCTTCAATAATTGTGATGGCAATATGAGCGGCTTGGAAGCACCAACAGTTGCACGCAGTGGTTTAGTCACTTTTGATTGGATACGACAAGAAACATACATTCGTAAAAAACGGTTTAGACAATTGAACTAGTTAAACGCTAGTCAGAAACATTAACCATGGTATGTGTATGAACTTTTCTTATGCTCCTCATGTGAGTTTCCACGATCAAATGACACGATTTGCCACTTAGAGGTTCTAAGTGGCAAGAGCAATTATTGCCTCAAATTCGGACGTATTTGAATCAAAACTATCGCGATTTTTTCCACCTAATCTGGGATGTAGTTCATTTTTCTTCAGGACTTAGTTGAAAATAAATTACTCGATTCTGATTGGTCCGAATTCCAACGATGATACAATAATTGTCCATCCAAAAAATGGACCGAATCCAGTTCCGGAAATTCGCATCCAGTCACAAAAATTCACATTGTGATAAATTTCCAATTTTTCCCGTTTTATGGTGAACGAGAGGTCCACCAATCGCGAACTAGCCGTGCTCAACGGTGATTGGCCGTCGCACTTAGCGAGTGGCGCGCGCGGGAAATTTGCGCGGGCAGGAAACTTCCATGATTTTTCGTGGTATCAACTGGTGGTAACTTTCAGTTGAGCCCGCTCTATTCAGATTTTGGAAACATGGCCCAGGTTTTATTTCACACTTCGTGATAAAGTCGAGAATCCTCCCATTTAAACATCGTAAATGTTCATTTTTTTTTCTGTCAGAGTTCATTATAAAGATCCATCAGGCCGATTAGCTACAACTTTTCTGATGTTCATGCAAACCCAAAGGGCAAGCAGGGCTCAGTTGCGTCCGAGAGTTCCAAGTCCTTTAACGTGAACTCTCATACTTAGTGGATGATATTTTGAAGAGAAAACGTAGGTAAAATTTTAAGTTAATGAGTCATTGTAATTCAGTGAAGAGACCATTGTTTGCAGATCACCACCCCGAACTGAGTCTTCCATCTCATTCTAATGGGTTTTTCTCAGAGAACACAGCAAAGTTATCCAGTTGCTTGAATTGCTCGCGAATGACGTCAGATTCCATCGCCATATGTTGCCACTAGTAGAATGAGAACGTATCCAAAACCGCTAGGTTAACACGTTGTCGGCTCATCTACAGCAGTGTACTCCTCATGCAAGCGCGCCGCGTCATAAGCAGACGTTGAGATGTATCGATCCGTCCTTCATCTGCCCTGTGCCATAAGGCCCCGTTGAATATATCGATACGGCCTCAATCTAGTTGACGCTGCTGATCGAGCGGTTGACCAGTTCAACAGTTCACAGTTAATCTATCGATGCTGCCAAGTCCCACCGGTGCTCGCTAACGGTTCATTGCCCAACAATCTCAATCATTTGTCATGCTTAACTCATTTGGCGCGCTCCTCTCTCATTGGCTCCTCTCTGCTTAAAAAGGGACCTAAGTGCGCGCCCGCCGTCTTATCACCTAGCTCGACGAGTCTCTAATCATGGTGAGTGGAACTTATCACTTAAGCCAATTGATCTTGCGTCGTTTTCTTTTTTCTTAACTGTGTTTTTTTTTTTTTTTTTTATTTAACAATAAGTTTGCTCGTTGCTGTGGTGGTTCTCATGGTCAGTGTTTTCTTCCGACCAATGTGTATTGAGCCGATCAGACGATGGAATATTCTTCCACGATAGATTTGATTTATATTCTTTGGCATTAGGCTCCATCGGCTATAACCTAGAGGTCTAACACTATAAGAGAGGCAAAGTCTTTGAGACTTTTTTTGCAGCCTGAGTATTAAAAGTTTAGTTTTCGTGCCTCCTCTCGCTTTATCATATTCAAATCCGGTTTTTCTTCTGGCATCAATATTTCCGCAATCGGTATTTCGGAACTGTAAAAAATCATGTTTCTTTAAAAGTGGATTTCAACTATTTTCCTCAGCGTTTCACCAACCTAATATCCTCTTATTCCGAGGAGAAGGGGAGCTGTGAGATCTAAGGCATTCCCCCCCTCCTCCCCCTCACTACAGCGACTAGTTTCAGGGAGTCAACCAAATTTTAGCTCATAGGGCACTGAAAATGTAAACCAGTATCCGTATTAATGCTTTCTTTGTAATCGCGCGTTCAGACGTGAATCTGCGACGTCGCAAATCGCTGCGACAAGTTGTTTATTTTTATATGGAAATTAGGCATTTATTTTTTTGCGGTTTTCATACTTTCTTGAAATTATTCCTCGCGGTACAGAAGTTGAAGGGCGTCATATCTCCCAAAGATAAAATACAAATAATGCTATCATCCCGCCCAACACGGAAATATTTTAAAAATATTGCTGAAATATTGTCAAAAACATTTTAACAATATTTTAACAATATCGAAATAACATTGCTGCAATAGTTTGTTGTCCGCCCCCCTGACAATATTTCAGCAATATTGTCAAGGTGATATTGATAATATATTTTAAAAATATTTACTTGTGATGAGGTTATCATATTCCATATCCGTGTGCGCGCACTCTAGGAGACGTCTTTGGTACTAATTTTCTTTCTAATGTACGCATGCGTCCAGGTTGTGGATCGTAGAGTTGTTACTGCCCTTAAAATCCGCGCCGTCCTAGTCGGGATTAGAACCACGCCTCGGGGTGGAGTTGATATCCGAAGACCAGTACTTTACCACCAGACCAGCCAGGCTTGATGTAGAAGGGCCTGTAAATTCAATCTCTTAAGTATCGCAGGCCTCCGAGTCCGTAATATGTTTGTTTATTGACGGATTCTTATAATATTTTACCAGAATTTATTATTTATTATTTATTTATTATTTTTTATTTCATCCTGTAATTTGTGTTTCAAATTCTTTATTAATTGTACTCAACATATTCCTATTCATGTATTACAATTTTCGTTTTTTTTAACTCTCTCTCATTTTTTTCTTTACCAAATTACTGTTTTTTATAATTGCGTCTTTTTCCAGTTTTAATTATTTGAGCTTTTTCCTAGTTTGAATTTATGTCGATGTATTTATATTATGTTATTTATTTTTTTCCCTTCTTTTTGTCTTTTCTTCCCCCCCTTTCTTTTTTCTAGCGATTGATTTTAGTAAGTTCCGCAAAATAATTGGTAAACAGAGCAAAACCATACGCTAATTTGGCAAACATTTTGAAAATCTAGCAAAAATTTTAGCCATAATAGCATAAACTAGTAATGTTAATTTCGCAAAAGTATAGTTTGCCATTTTCGCACAGTAAAATTACCACTTTTGCAAATTGTTTTGTCGTTCTCGCCACGAGGGTGGGCATTTTAGCAAAAAAAGCAAATTGCAGAAATCGCAAACCATTTTTTGCCATTTTAGCAATTAATTTTTAAATATTACAAAAATATTTATAAAATATTTTTAACATAATATTAAACAAATATTTTTAAACTAATATTTCTAAAATAATTTTAAAATATTTTGTAAATATATTTTACAAACTGTTTTAAAAGTAATTACATAAATATATTTTGTAAATATATTTAAAACATTTTTATAAATATATTGTTACAATATTGTCATGAAATATTTTAGCAATATTGTCAACATATTTCTGAAGTGTATTTAAGGAAATATTTACATGACAATATTGTTTCAATATTGACAATATTGCTGCAATATTGCTGCAATATTTCGTGTTGGGCGGGCAGGAGGACAGAAGACGAAGAAGAAGCGAAAACGAGACTCGCATGCCGCGACCAAGATGACGTCAAGCGGTTTTGCTCATGGGCTTTTATTTGTTTGTTTTCTCAGAGGCTCCCACTACACATCATTGTTATGAATTTCAACTTGTCAATGAGTATAACTCTTTCAAACATTCTTATAGTCTCCTCAAGTTTTAAGATAGATGCCAAAACATTGCGCCATGCTCATTCTTGCAGATAAATTATAATTCTTATATACGTATAGGTATATTGGAGAAACGCACGCCTTTTACATTCTACAGACCTTTGGCAAAATTTGAGGAAGAGATTTTAGAAATGAATCGTCTCACGTTCGAGGATACACCCGTGTAACTTCAAACCGCTGTGAAGCGAGATAACTTTAAAATCTTGTAAAAAAAAGTCCATATATATAAAAGTGATTTTTTTTATTTAAATAAGTAATACAATAATCAAAAGAACAATTTCGCAAACTGAGTGCAGCATCAATTGCCACGTAGGTATACTTCTTTTTATTGTAGATTTTTTTATTCAGAAGAAAACCTTGCCAGCATTTTCACAAGCTAGAAATTATTGAAAATAAAACAAAGTTAATGATAGCGACGCGAGTAACTTCTTCATCGAGTGGAAACTTAAATTTAAAAAAAAAAATGAAATAATTTAATAATAAGTCAGCCTATTTAACAACGTAGGTAATGGACGAGGTCTAAGTCTTGAACTTCCGTTATCAGTTCACAGCAAAGCCTTCGTTGCCGCCAGTTTAAAGAATTTTAAAATTATTGTCTGTGAATTAGTCAGATACCTCGAGTAGATTTCAACGAGGTGTCATTCTGCTTTCCGAAATATATTAATCACCTACCAATGATTTGCAAAGTAAAATTGAGTATGAGCTAACGAATGAGACAATATCATCACGCACAAGTTTGCCATATCATCTACTGTTTTCTTTTCTTCGAACGTGTCTCAACAGAGATGGCGTCAGATTGGTATTGTATACATAACGCGGCCCGACTAAATGCGAGTATCACCTATGCAGTGTGAGTCACCATGAACCATTCCAGCGATAACTGTGTACTCGCGCATTAATGTCACGAGTCAATTGTTTCAGTGATCAAAATTCAAATTTTCACTTCAAATGCCCAATCGCTCTCTTGGGAACTACTGACCATATCTTAGGCACTCTAAAATCATAACAATTACGACCAGCGGCGTGGCGTGAGTTGCGATTTATCGATTGTTGTGCCATTTAAACCTATGGAAAAGGATCGATAAACAGGGTGTTCGCAGCGAACACCTTAATAATCGATGCTTTACCATATCTTTAAATGGCATAATAATCGATGCATCGCAATTCACGCCACGCCACTGGTTACAACGCGTAACGCATAACGCCTCAGGTGGGAAGCGCTTCCATGGATTGGGTCGCAAAGCGGTCAGGGGGCATACCTCGTAGTTATAAACAATAAGCGCTGAATTTAATTTGCATCAAAATAATTTCAATCCGATATGTTCACCGTATGAACATATCACAATGGATTTTATTCATCCCCCCCCCACACTATCTTCCTTTAAAATTGTAAATAAAAAACCAGGTCTACAGTTTTAAGTGGTACCCGTTCATTTTTTCTTAATCACTTCCTCATTTCAAACATAATATACCTCAAATTACAAAATCTTTCTCGGTAGACACGATTTCGCATTGTTTTTCTCTGTCTTGGTGTTTCTTCGCTGTTGTGCAGATTGTTCGGGCACTATCTCCTGTAAAATCAAGTTCGTTGGAGTAGAGATGTTTTCAATCTCGATTGTTCTTTTCCAGTTACGTAGCGTGCTTTGCAATCGATTCATCTGCCATTTAAATCTATGAAAAATGATTGAAAACAGGGTGTTTGGAACAATCACCTTAATATTCTATTCTTTACCACATCTTCAAATGGGGAGATATCTATAATTGATCATTCACGCCTCGCCATTGTTCTTATCCTCCTCTGACTTGCGCCCAGACGAACGTCGCACAGTGGATCGAGTCAATCGGGTAGGTCGGACAAAATTTGGAAACTTTACAAGCTTAAAACTCCGTCTATACAAGACATTGAGGTTTTAAAAATGGTTCCACTGGTTTCCTCGTGAAATTTTCTTCTATAAACATCCTTTACAATTTAAAATGTGACGAAATGAACATTGAAATTCGCAGTTTTAGTAAAAAATTTCATGTCCGACTCCTCTGATTGGCTCGATCCACTGTGCGTCCTAAAAGCATCCGAATTTTACGAAATCTCATCCGATAAAATCATCACCCTCGAGAACAGTTTCGAGTGCCTTTTTCTCCATCAAAAATTTCAAATTCCCCGGATTTAATTGCAAGAAGACATGCCCCGAAAGATTCACGAGTTATTTTTCTCAGAAGAAAGGTACTTTCCGAGGGGAATTTGGCAACGTTCAAACGCTTATGCGACGTTCTTCCTTGGCACTGTGATATTGCACTGACAAGGAGAGGCGTAATATTTTGAATGGTGCATTTTTCTGCTTGCTGTTTTCGCTTAGCCCTGGTATATTAAAGCGTGCACCGATGGGCTCAAGTGATCCGAGTTGCGTGCAGTTTCAGACCTTGATGTCATTTGTTACTCGGAGTGAAGATCTGCCGTGCCAAGGAAAAACGCCGCATGAACCTTCAGGCGTTGTCAAATTTCTCCCGGCAAATCACCACTTTTCCGGAAAATTTTTGAATATTTCTCTACCAATTTCTCAAATAATTTAATCCGCAATTTTATCCAAAGATTCTGAAAATTTAAAGGAAAATTATTCATAACTCTCCTAAAAAATAAGCATTTTATCGAAGGAAATCTGGCAACTCTCGAATGTTCATACGGCGTTCTTCCTTAGCACGGCAGAGATGCAGTCGACGGCCTTGGAGGCGTAAACAAGACGATCGCTCATTCGCTGCCACAGTGGCACATGCAATGGTGACGCCATGCGGCGCCCGATGCGTCCTGCGTTGCGCGGGAACGTATTCGAACGTGAGCGATCTATTATTATAGATCGCTGCACCGCTTTTTGCGTGGATAATCGATCAATCGAAGAGTCTTCATTCGATTCTTACCTATAGTCTAAAAACCGGCGCCGTGCATAGAGGTGTCCCGTCAGAGGTCAGGGGTGATATTCCTGAAATATAAGGCAGCCCGGGTCCGCAAATATAGTGTTCGTCAGATCATGGAAGTCGGAAATGACATCAATTACACAGAGAAAGGAAAACTTAAGGAAACATTTCCTTGATTTTTTTCAACGCATTACCCAAGTTTTAGGAGGGGAACTTAAGACCAACTTCCTTCAAATGCTTCGTCACTAATTCGCGTTTTATGAACCTGGTCTGCTGGCGCTCCGATGTGACGGCTCTAAAAAAAATCAGTAGCGTAAGGTCATTTTTTCTACAAGCTTTGGGTCTTGTGCCTAGCATCGTTTGTAGATCAACTGTTCGTGCTGAAGAGATATTTTCGCGGTGTAATTGAAGAATTGAAGGCGCTCTGTCATTCTGGATCCTCGCAATGCGCCGCTGCGCCACGCAGCGGGCGAAGCGGCGAGTGCCCAGACAGCTAAAACGCCTTCACTTTCGCGCGTATGCAACACGGACGTCCATGGAGCTCGAATAGTTGCATCCAGGCGTTACATTGAAACTCGCTTCGCGTTTGTCGCATGCGACACTACGACTAGGTGCTTTGCTTGTTTCTTTTTCTTTTTTCTTTTTCTCTTTTTTTTTTGAAGGAATTTTATTTAAATATAACGTAACTACTACAAGTATTTCCTTATATCTATCTACATGCTTTAAAACTAAAACTAAAAATTGCATTAAATTTACAGGGTAACTTTAGATAATACGGCAATGATTTGCTTGTTTCTCTGCACCTCAACATTCAGCTCCGTCTTTTGTGCCGTTGAAGTAAACTATAACTGATTTTTATCGAGACATCGTCAATTTTCAGAACTCTGCATTGACTGTTAAAATGTAATACTTTGACAGTTCTGGAAATTGGAAAAAAAGGTGTGGGAGAAATATTTGTAGAGTCCTTTCATCAACATTATCGAGCCGTCCTTTGTTCCGATTTTCTCCGCCTTTGGTTCAAATAATTTTGACGTTCAAGTGCAGACTTTTCTAAGAACAATGCGTCTCGAGGCCGGCCTTAAGTTCCTTGCATGGAACCCTAGTTGATGCTTTTTTATTCAATGTATTCACATTTAAATGATAAGATTGTGCGAATCTTTTACAGGACGAGGAAAAGGATGGTTTATTGGGCGAATCTCGAGACGGAACGATAGTGTACAAACGACTCCCCACCGCCGGGCCGACATTAGATACCGCCATCAGAGTCCTGAACGAGGCCTTCTACCCGGAGGAGCCCCTGTGCAGGGCCCTGCAGGTGACACAATCCCCTCAAGCAATCTGTGATCTCGATGCACTCTTCCTGGGAATGGCACAAGACTACCTCTCGGTAGTCGCTCTCGATGCCATGTCGCATAAAGTCGTTGGCGTATGCTTTAACAAATTAGAGGTAAGCTAGTATGTCAGTGGCGTTTTAGGACATCAGAAATCACAAATTATTTGTAAATTGAGGCATTTTTTCGGTAAAATGGCGTACAAGGCTTGCAATTGCTAGAATGTTGCAATTTTTTATAGCGTTTGCGGCAGACGAAATTCATTTTCAGTCAATTAATTTACTTCCTCACGAGAGCGAGGAAAACCTCGGGGCAGATTCAGGGTAATATTCACAGCAGAACAGTCGGATAAGTTACTTAGAACTAGTGAACTACTTTGCATATTGTAGCATCGGAAGTTTCATACGCCCTTTTGCCGGAAACGACTGAATTTTAAAATTAAGTGGGAATATTTCTACTGAGAGGAACTAGAGATGGGTCGGAAATATGGGGTTTGCCCCAGAAAGCTGCGTAAGAAACAATGTATAAAAGTGGACGTGATTCCTTTTGTGGAAAGGGAAAGGTGGGCTTTTACATTAAATCAAACGGAACTAAGCGCCCCGTGGTAAAAATTGGCAGTAGAATGTGTGTCCCAAAATACTATAGACCCAAAAGCCGGCTGTGAGATTTCCAATAGCTTCTGTAGCCGGCTGTACAATTTCTTAGAGCCTTTTATAGCCGATGGCGATTAAGCAACAGTCAGACGATAAAGTTTATGCTAAACGTTACTAAATACGGATACTAGGACTTAGTTACTTTTAGGACTACCGCTCTCTTTTTGTGCCGTAGTATCTTGATTTATTTTGCGAGGAAAGCTCCGTACTTTTGAAGGATGCCTGTCATTCTTAATATGTTGGAGCGCCTTCAATTTCTTATGATAGTGTGTAATACCTCTGGTGTGAAATAGGTGCTTCAGACGCCGTGGCACACTGCGGCGCGGCGGGCGGGCAGAGAGCGCAAAACGCGCATTGGCGCCTACAAACCTAACAGGGATACTTCACGCATTGCGCAATGCGTGAAGTATCCCTGTTAGGTTTGTAGGCGCCAGTGCGTCGCCGCTCCGCTTTGTGTTATGCTCTAATATTTAATCTNGAGGGGACCCCTACGGAAATTTTAGCTTCTTTTCCGGGAAAAAAACAAAGAGTTGATTGTTTTTTTTTTAGACGAACGGTAGCAGATATCAAAATGCGGTTTGTGTAGTCTTAAAAACCGGTCAATTACCGATAAAACAAGACAAATCCAAGCTGTCTAAGTCAAAAAATGACCAAGTTACAGTGTTTTGAAAATGACTTGTAGAGGTGACCCCTCCAGGATTTTTAGCTTCTTTTCTGGAAAAAACAAAGATTTGATTAATCAAAAATTCTACAGAGAAATCATCGCGATCGAATGAAGTTGGCAACATGATATCAGCCCGGACCTTGCACCCTGCGATTTTTGGTTATTCCCTACGCTGAAAAATGGCTTAAGAGGCAGGAAATTGAACTCCATCAACGAGATAAAAAGAGCTGTTGAAACTTTCTTGAAGAACATCAGGCAAGAAGAATTCGAAAAAACATGTTTGAAGAAATGGGAAGAACGGTTGCGGCGCTGTGTGGCAAGCGATGGAAGGTATTTTGAGAAGGAAACCAGTGTCCAGTCGTCAAGTGAAGAGGATTAAATGCCAGTAATCTTGGTAAGATTGTGTAAAATTGATTTTATACAACCAATTGATCTTGAATCTTTAAATCTTTATTTTTTTTTCCAGAAAAGAAGCTAAAATTTCCGTAGGGGTCCCCTCTGGAAGCCATTTTCAAAACCCTGTAACTTGGTCATTTTTTGACTTAGAGAGCTCGGATTTGTGTTGTTTTATCGGTAATTGCTCTGTCTTTAAGACTACACAAACCGCAGTTTGATATCTGCTACCGTTCGTCCAAAAAAAAAAAACGTGCAGTACTTTTGGGACAACCTATGTAGTTCCGTCTCCAACTTAATGATTTCCAAAGCACACGAATTTCTACACAATTTCTTATAGCCTTCTATAGCCAATGGCGATAAAGTGTAAAGCCCGGCGATAGGAACTATAGCCGGACTTTATACTTTTTTATAGCTTCGTATAGCCCGGCTATATGATTTGCTCCGCTTTCCACAGCCAGCTATATGATTTTCAATAGCCTTCTTTAGTCGGCTATAAGAACTCCTATGACATTTTGAAACGCAGCTCGTATCGCCAATTTTTACCAGGGCCAATATATGCGGATTTCATGGGCCGTGCATGGACATATGACAAGAAGCGTTATGGACGGGGCTCATTACTGCCGTGCTCAGGAAAAACGCCGTAACTCCAATCAGGACTTCGCCCATGGAGGAGTTAGTGCACCGTAACAACTATTTCAATAATAAGTTCAACAATAAACCGGCTCAAGCAGGAATTTTGATGATACGAAAGGATCTCTGAGACTATGTGATTGAGAGGACAGCTGGTTTTCACTTAGAGGGATTTTTTCTCTTTCAGAGATCCTTCCTTTTTTTTAAACAACTTTCCTCCAGCTCAAGACTTCCAGAGTATTATATGTATATTCTTGTAATTTTTTACATGTATGCAATCTTTCCAAATCGTTACTATCGACGGTGAAACTACCAAACCACGTATCTCGTTTGCGGTGTTTAAAAATCTACGCTCACATTTTATTTTTTTGAAGTAGACCAAATCAATATCATTCCTTGAAATTTTCACGGAATTTTCTCCGCACAAAGAGGAAAAATCACAGAAATTTTCAAGACTGGATGTTAAGTAGTGTTTCATTTAAAAAATAAAGTATGACAGGAAGTCTGCGACGTCGCAAACCGAGATACGTGGTTTGGTAGTTTCACCGTCGCTATTCTCTCAAGTTCACGTTTCACGTTCTTCACGTATTTTTACTTTTGGAATTTTCAGACAAAACCGATGGAAGGAAATTTAGATTTTTACGAAGTATTCAAGAAAAGGAAATGCAAAGAGGATAGGATAAAATTTTTCATAGACGTCTTGGCAGAGGTAACTATAGTCTTTCATCTCTCTGTTTTCAATTGTGGGCCGGGAAAGCGAATGAGAAGCGGGTTAAGACTTGAATTAGAAATATACATCCATTGGGTTTCAACGTTTTTGCAACCATTAGAGATACTCGAGAATGGTTCAGTTGCATTGGTCACAGAATCGTGTTTTGATGCTTCATCCTTGCAGATCAGCTAGAAATAATAAGATTTGTCCAAGCAGCAACTCTCTACGTGCAATATTAACTGAGATATCGCCCTTTGAAAAGTAGGGTTTTTGACGATATCCACTGCGGTAGTGATACACTTGGTTTTCCGGGAAAGAAGTGAAGTTAATTTAACATTGTGGATGTAAAAAAAGTGCGTGAGAACTTATAACATGCGAATTACCCGCTATAGCAGTTACTTTAGCAATGCCAAGATGAAAGAAACATTACTTATATACTGTGGCGGATAATGGACCACTAGATAAGGTACGAATTTCAGCATTCTGATACATGATTCTTAACCAAAATTTTACGTAAAACACGATGCACACAACGAAAATTACCGAAATGAACTCCTTACGAAGATATTTAATGATTCTTAATGCGTGAATTCAAACCACCCGCTCATGAAAACTCAATGCTCTACGTGATTCACATCGCGCGCTAAACGTTATCATGACAGTCTCTGCGATATAAAAATCTGGCAACCTCAATCTTGACGCTTTGGTTCAGCTACAGCAAATTTCTTATAGTTTGAACAACACATGGAGGGAAATGAACATTGCTCGATTGAGAAGCTTGCTGAAACCGTTGTAGTGGGCGATTTGACTCACGTAGAGTTTTGAGTTTCTTGTGAGCGGGCAGTTCAAATTCCTCGTAACCAATGTGAAATAAACACGTTATTATCTTCGTTAGGAGTTGATTTCCGTAATTTTCGTTGTGTGAATCGTTTTCTACGTGAAATTCTGGTTAAGAAACATGTATCAGATCGCTTAAATTCGTACCTTATGTCTAGTGGTCCATTCGCCAGCATTTCATAAGTTCTCGCACACTTTTTTTTACATCCAGAATGTTAAATCAACTTGACTATTTTTCAGTGAATTCCTCCCACCTTGCTTTCATCAGTCAGTGTGACGCAAATTTGCGCTGGTTACTCAATGTAAAATTCGGGTGAAAGCGAGGTGGAAGAAACCAAGGGTGTCACTACCGCGGTGGATGACATCATAAGCCGAATTTTTCAAAGCGTGACATCTCGGTTACTATTGAACGTAGAGAGTTGCTGTTAGGACATATCTTATTATTTTTAGCTAATCTATAAGAATCAAGCATCAAAACGCGATTCTGTGACCATCGCAACTGACCCATTGTTAAACGATATAATATACTCAAGTCACCAGTGAGAGAAAAATCATTACAAATTTTGTAAAAGCTCGCGTTGTTGGAGTTTTTGAAAGTTTTTTGATAAGTAAAACACGAGAAAGGATTATTCAACGTGTAATGGAGTTACACGGATTCTGCGTGGCCAATTCTGCCGAATTGTCCACCGGCGACACTTTGAAACGTTGCGTTGCTCTGAAGTCCCTTTGACTTTCACCCCTTCAATTCTCCTCGTGCCTACTTGCTTTGCATCTTGCCCTGGCCTCAAATAGGCAGTGATCGCAATTAGTTGCGATTTGATCGAAGAAGGTGTCGCAATTTTGTCGATTTATTGCAAAATTATTGACCAAAAAAGGTTCGATGAATTGTAATTTCGGCGATCCATCGCAATATTATCAAACAAAATATCGTGATAAATTGAGATGGAATTTCGATTGTATATAGAACGCGATTTGATAGAGATAAAATCGCGACACAGCTGAGGATACCCTGGTAAAAATAAGCCATACAAATTACCTATAGCCCGGCCATAGGAAAAATCCTATGGTAAATTGAAACATGGCCTTTTGGCGATAGGAATTTTCTATAGCCGGCGATTGAGAATTCCTATGGCTGGCTGTAGGAATTCTCAATCGCCGGCTATAGAAAATTTAGGGGTTCGCAGCTAGGGGATGGTGGAAAAGGGTTAATTGTGGAAATAAATTTTGAAACCATGAAAAATAATAATAATGAAACTACTGGGACGTAATTTACCCGATTTTGAAGATTAGACATTTTTACCTACCTTAGGGATTGAACCCGGGACCTGCCTAACACAAACCGAAGACCCTAACCATTAAGCTATACCAGATGCTGCCTTCAGTAAAACCGATATTTAACGTCGATTTGAACGGGAAACTAGGATATTTTCAATCTGCCTGGATTTGTCCGTGTATTTATTTTACTTTTTACTTTACTATATTTTTTAAATTTATTTTATCGTTTTACTTGATTTATTTCCTTGCTGACTCTATTTTTTTCTTCACACTATTTTATTTTTTCAAGTACTTCATTTTTTTTCTTAAAATATTTACTTCTTATTCCCTTATTTTGTTTTATTTTTTACTGTAATTTATTTTAATACTTCATCATGTTTACTTTGTAAATTCATTCTATTCTTTAACCTCATTTAGTTTCTTCCCTTATACTTTATTTTTTCTTCACCTCATTTTTTTACTTCATCTCCTTGCTCCCTCTAATTTTTTACTTCAATTTAGTCTTTGACTTCATTTTATCATATATTTAATTTACTTTATTTGATTTCTCTTCTGTTGTCTCTGTAATTCTATTATTTCTGCTACTCTATTATTTCCACTATTCTATTCTATTATTTTACTTATTTAAACTTTAAATTTTTCATTTTCATCATTGGATTGGTAGGCCTAAAGGGAAGAAGAGACAGTATAGAGCGCTAGTGCGAGAGAGAGATAGCCTAGGTGCGCGTGACTTAGGGCCCAACTGAAGCTCCGGTGCTGAGTGCTTTGCGCACTCATGCGACACATCTCAGTACCTATGCGCTGAATCTCACTCCCCTGTTCATTCTCAATCCGGATTTTCCGTTGGACGGAATCAACGATTTTTAACAGTGTATATGGCCGATTCAAATAAAAAAAAATCAAAATCAAATCAAATTTTGGAAAAGTAAGAATTATTGAGAAAAAATTGAAGAAAAATGTTTTTAGAAAAGAAACCAGGATAGATTCACTGGCGCTTATGATGATTTTCGAAAAAAATTACTTTTTTAATTGCCCCTCGTGCACACGCGTATTTCCAATCGCCGGATACTGAACATTCTGTTGCCGGCTACAGATGGCTGTTTTGGCAGCGGATGGTTATTGCCGTTATCCACAAGTGGCCAGCTATTGAATGTCCTATTGCTGACTATTCACGGCTAACGCCGGCTGCAGAACGTTCTATCGCGGCCATTCGTGGCTATTGCTGGCTGTAGAACTTTCTATCGCCGGCTGTAGAACTTTCTCTCGCCAGCCATACGTGGCTATAGCCGGCGATTGAACGTTCTATCGCTGGCCATTCGTGGCTATAACCGGCGATTGAACGTTCTATCGCCGGCCATTCGTGGCTATAGCCGGCGGTTGAACGTTCCATCGCCGGCCATTCGTGGCTATAGCCGGCGATTGAGCCTTCTATCGCCGGCCATTCGTGGCGATAGAGCTTTTTATCGCCGGCCATAAGGGCGATAAGAAAATCCTATCGCCAGCTATAAAAGCTATAGAAAATCCAACAGACGGCCATAAGATTTCTCTATCGCCTTTATGGCTTATTTTTACCAGGGTAATCGCTTAGATGTTGATGATCCGTGAAATTTTATCGCCAAAAAGTCTTACAAAACTCTCAACTTCATATCAAAGTATAAGGGGTCGTAGATCACGAAAATATTTACAATTTTTTTTTAAAAATTTGTATTCATTTTTTTTTATCTGTTGTTTAATTTATTTATAAGCGAGACTTGCTTTAACATGATTCTACTTGATTTATCAGGAAACAGCCGGAATCGACTTGTTCGAAAAATACAAGACGGACGCGGTCGTAGATCTCGTATGTCTCACAGTGCTGCCAGATTTCAAACGGCGAGGTATAGGAAAATCCTTGATGGAGCATTCGTTGGAGCTAGCGAGGAGGACAAACGCTGCATCTGCTGCTTGCGTCGTCTGCTCATCCACATACACCCTCAAAATGGCCAAAAGCATTGGCTTCACCGAACTCACCTCCGTCCCCTATTCTCAGTACATTTACGAGGGCAGACAATTTTCCGACGTCATACGAGACCATGCCAGTGTTGTTCTAGTTGCAAAAAAATTGCAATAAAGTTTTAACTTCACGCGGTAAAAGAGCCATACCCAAGTAGCAGTGATTTCGATAAGTTTCGATTTGATCTGAGAATGCATGGCGATTTTGTAAGCGTCGATTTATCGCAATATCATCGGATAAAAAATTGCAAGAAATTGCAATTGCATCGCATAAATTTGCAATAAAATCGCGATCTTATTGACGGTAATTTATCGCATTACTAACGACCAAAAAATCGTAAAAAATTGAGATAAAATGGAGATTTTTTCGAATGTGATTTTTCAGAGATAAAATTGTGCAAGTGCATTGTTTGTGTGTGTTTTTTTTAAAAAAAGATGTTGTAAAAAGATGTGTAGATGTGTACTTTCGATGTGTCATATTTAAGCGACATTTTTAGAGCATATTCTTGAAAAGATAAAAATAAAAAAAACTTGAAAAGATAAAAAAAGATAAAAAAAATACACGAAACTTAACACATTAACAATGATTAGCAATCCCCACGAAAATTAAAATGTGGTGGTTAATCTACACAGTTGCAAACAACAAAATAAAGAGGCGTTTTCCAACGTTTGCACCAATAAATACGGATGTATTGTTTCCTTTTTTTAACCCATCTTTTCTACCTTACTTTTCCAAATTCTATCAATAAAATCAATGAAATATTTTTAAAGTCAACAGATAAGTACATTAAAATGCCCTTTTAGAAATTCTGTTGTTGCATTTCTTTCGACCACCAAAGAGAAACATGCAAAGTGCTGAGTGAAAGAGTCTACCGCAATTTTTGTTCTTATTTTTTTAAGAAATGAAAAGAATTGTATCATTATTCTTCTAATTGTTGCATGTACCTACCTATAACTATACCTAGCTTGGTATTTTTTTTTTTTTTATTTTTTTATTTTACACATTATTTTAAAGCAATTTTGCGTTAAAAACTATGCATAAAAAAGCAAAGAAAGAAGAAAAAAAATTAATTCTTAAGCGAAATATATCGAAATTGATTCGTATTTGTTCAGTATGAAAAGTGCGCGAATAACATTATTCATCTACTGAAACCTCGCTCTTGCAAGTTGATCATCTTCTCAACGCATTCAGGTATATACGGATGGTTTTTTTGCACGTAAATAAGGTGACATTCAATTAGAATGATATGCCTCGAGAAATAGAGAGGTCTTTTTTTAACTTTTTTCTCACATAGACAGTTCAAATTAAAGAGTTACCTATTCAGAATCTCAATATATTTTTAACATGTCATTCTTTGTCCTACAAAGTAAAGCCCCCAAGCGGCTGAATACATGTCAAAAGCTTACACATAACAGAGATAAAAATTTTAGATATTTAGGGAGGTCTATCGCTTTTTTAAAATTCTCTGCTTCAAGATCAAAAGTGATTGCTCTCTTATCCCAGCCTTATGCCATCAAAGCAAAAAAATGCCGACATGGAAAGCTAATATAATGTGAGATAGAAAATTACATTGTTACCACATAGTGCTGTTCTCCCATATTTTCTAGGAGAAATAAAGCCACAGTTTATCGCTAAACCTGGCAATTTTTAGGATGTAAACGATGGCGGAACAAAGTTTCGAGAGTAAGTAGTCACAGCTTTTTAAAAACTTTGTAACCTTGCAAGTTTAGGCTGTTGGTGCCGAAAAAGTTGACCGACCAAAAATTTCAACGATGAACGATTAGTTGGGCACTAATTCATAAAAATCTTTCACGTCTTTTGAGGAGGGTCAAGCAGACTCGGNGGGGGGGGGGGGGGGACTTTGGCGCACAACAAAACAGCCAAAAACGAGCCGTCGAGCGCTTTGTCGTCCAAAACTCAAGCAAAGGAAGAAATGAGTCGGATAATGACTGAGAGATCACGAAAGTTTCGTGCTCATGTTTTATGAGTCGTTAATTCCGAATTTGACGTCAAATTGACAAGATTTTAACAACCGGACCTATTAATTGTGGGCAAGTTTATGGCACGCTGCGGTGCGGCGTGCTGCCAGCTTGAAACGCGCACTGACGCCTACAAACCTAAGGGGATACTTCAAGCATTGCGTAATGCGTGAGGTATCCCCTTAGGTTTGTAGGCGTCAGTGCGCGTTCCGCACTGGCAGCACGCCGCGGCTCTCCCGGCGCGGCGGGCGGGTGGTGAACGATTTCTAGCGGGGACAGCTTCGTGGCGGAGAAACTCGTATACCGTTTAATTTTTTTTAATTCTTTTTTTTTTAAATTTCGACTTTTAAAATTACACACTGGTCGTGTGAAGTAATAAGGGAACTCTCAACGCTAGATGAAGTGTAATAATGAAAGGTGGGTTGTGCACCATGCGCGCTGCGGACGGCGCCGCATGAAATTCTCCCATGTGCTCTGTCGCGCAACAAATGTCATCCCCGTCATTTCAAATTTCCCGCGAGCGCCATTCTGAAATGCACCGGTTCCGGTGAATGCAATTTGTAAACATGGTAGATGCTGATTTCGTGGCCTGGCCTCGTAAGCTGATTTTTAGGGGTTAAATGTAAATAAGTGCGTAAAAACTTCGGATACCGTTGCTCCAACATGAATTCATTTAAAAAATCCACGTAAATTATCTTCAATGTAGGTTGTGCGTATCCATTAATTCACATCAAGCATTGATTCGTCGTTTTGGATCCCCTCTATGCCCTATCAACTTTGCTGGAAGGTAAGTTGCAAAGCCCAGGAGGCATGGAATTTGATTGCATTTTGTGCATTTTCACAGTCTTTTTTGTGGCAATTAATTCTCTAAGACTAAATGTCACTGGCCAGTCTCCCTATATTACCCTCTCATTTGAATAAATGAAATGCTCGTCCCCTGTGTTATGCCACTGCCAATTACTTTTTGTATCAGCATCTAAGTATTTAATAAGTTGGAAGTTTCGCACAGGTGAAGTGCATTACCGTTGTCAAATATTAGGAGTCGTGGTAGTTCTTACACTTCTTTTTACTGATATAATTGACCTTTAGAATATCACTGCTCCAACTTTCAAAAGCAGCAATGGTCCGCTTGTGATTAGAACTTAATATCCCCTTATCTCATATCTTGAACTAATAGCAGGTAATTAAGATACTGAAAGATTACTCCTTATAATATTACGTTTGTCATCAATTTAATGGCGTTTTCACTCACAATTACACTTATTCTTTTACATTAGAACAGAGAGTTTACAACATTACCCTCTGCAGCTATTAATATGTGGTCACCTCTGGATTTCTTTCTTTTTTTCCAAAGAAAATTCCTTAGCGTTACTAATTTTAAGTCCTGTGGGTGTATAAAATATTTTAGTATGCAAAGAAATCGACCGAGAAAATTGCTTCCTCTAAAACGTAGGATTTTTGAGTCAAGGAAAGTTGCATCAGTGAATGTAAAGGTTTACATTCACCACTTACAGGCACCAATCTCTCAAAAAGGCGGGAGTCAAAAGTTAACAATTTCTTGCAAACGACAAGTAAGTAAGAGAGTCATTGACCAGTTTAACATTCTGAAAAATTTTCGAAATTAAAGGAAAAATTTAGTTGAGCTTAAAAGAAACTAACTGTCAAAGTTGAGCAAGTTTATTCAATACCTGAGTACAATAAAGAACTAACAGTTGCGTACTTAAAGTTAACAATTAAATACATTTTAATTTTTCCCCTGTGAAGTTTGAATTTTATCGAGTAAGCATCAAGTCCATTTGCACTATGTAAAACAAATTTTTGGCTCTTCAATTTAGTTGATTGAATCATAGAGTGATAAAATTTGTATTCACACTTAGCAACATTTCAAGTATCATTGGAGTTTTTATTGTGAAGATATTTAATTCATTTAATGATGTAATTGCAAAATGCGTCCTTCAATTATGGCGTTCATGAGGAACAAAAAATAAATAAACAATTAAATAAAATAAAGCTTATCTGCAGACTTACAAACCCCCCCCCCCCCCCCCCCCTTGCCTGGGAGTCCAGGGCATTACAATTTTTTTGGCTCATGAGTTTTCGGACTCGCATCCATCTAACAGGAACTGATTCAACTGTGAGAGGACATGTTATCCATTTACATCTTGCTCGTGGAGTGTATTAGTTTTCTGCTCGTATTTTCCACAAGATAGCCTTGTTACCTTAGAACTCAAAATCTATCTGCAATAGGTGTTATCAATGTTGCAATCTTTATTTTTTGTTTTAAATTGTTTCTTGTCAATATTTTTTTTTTGTTTGAAGCAAGGCACCTCGTAAAATTAAAGTCATTCTACTACTACTACATCTTGTCTCAATGTCTTACCTCCTACATTTGAAGAAGAAATTTGTAGTTGGTAATTTTCCAACCATAGATTCCAGTCTTATCATTATCTCTCTATGGCTCATCTGTCTGGTGGGAGGCAGTGGCCGAGCAATTAAAAGTTTGATTCACCTTTTATCAACATCGGACCATACTTCAATCATATTTAGCTCACTAATTATTTCTGTCTCCTGATAATATTTATTTTTATTATTATTGACTTCTTAAATTTTCTCTTTGATGCGAATACCTAAAAATTATCTCTCTCTCCCCCCCCCCTTCCTTCTCCTAGTCTTTCCTCTCCTAAATATAATTGTTGAACTTCACTTTCATTTGTTCAAAATATTTCTAGCACTGGCCTTCATCCCTTCCTACCTTGCAGAGTTTTGGTATGATGTGAGGCCTTAAAGTTATGCTAAGGTAATTTGATGTCTATTTTTCTTCTCAATTTAGGATCGATCTATGACGAATGATGGGGTTAATCCTCCATCCCCCCCCCCCCCAAAAAAAAAAAAATAAATAAAACCTGCAACAGTGTGCCATCCGAAATGTTTTGATGATAGGTACTGTACATTAGCTGTACATATGTAAGTTTGAAGACTCAATCAATAGGGAGTTCCACCCTGATTCAGTTAAAAATATTAAATGATGGGTTTGAGACATCCTTAACTCGACAGAACATTTAACAGCTTATTTCAGGAAGGTATCATGAAAAAATGCTTTAAAAACTGGATAGCATAGAAAAAATCAGGGAAATATCAGGTAAATTTTGAAAAGGAAGAAATTTTTTTTTTTAAAGAAATTTCTCCAATGATAGTTCTTCTTGTCTAATATTTTTGGGCAAGTAATGAATAATTATGAAATTATTTGGCTTTCTCTAAGGTCAAAATCTGAAAGTTGGTAAAATATTAAGCTGTATTAATAAAGATGAAGAACCTATAATGAAAAATTCTACCCTTTATTTAGACCCTAGTCTTCAAATTTGTCTCACTTTGTCAGAGATAAAATAATTGACCTTTCAACAGATCAATTTCTTGGAAGAAGGGGAAGAAATGAAAGTTTTAGTTTTTAGAAGAAAGAAAGAAGGAATCAAAATCCTTAAACTTTAATTTATTAAGTATAAACTTAGACACACTCTTAGTTGAGATATGTCTTGGTGATCTTACAGATGCCCATGAAAGCAAATAGTGACTAAAAGAGATAATTTATTGACAGTGTAGGTATATAGTCGATTCAAGAAATTTTTGTACTAATCTTGCCTCAGAATATTATGCACAGCACCATTCTATCATATTTGTATTCCTGTAGTCCTGTTAAACTTTTATTTAACAGCGATTTTCATGACCAGCAGAATACAAACCTGCTTTCAATGAACGCTTTGGACCATCAAATGAAAATGGTCTGGCCCTCAATTGTTTTAATCTTAAACAAGTACATAATTTAGATTCATTTTTACACCAATTAAATTTTCCGACAATATTTTGACAATTTTTCACCCAATTTTTAAATATCATGTAGCTTTATCATTACATGGCATAGCTATCAAATTCTCACTTTTGAAAACCCTGCCAGTGAGATTTCCGACCCCCTGCCCTTTACCTTCCACTTTTCTCTAAAATTACAAGCATAAAAGCTTCATCTAAACAGTCAAAGTAGTTAAGAATCCTCATGTCAAGTCTGCCAGACTCCACACTCAGATCTCTCTGCATCTCATTTGGTTTCATTACCTTTGCATAATTTAATTTGTCCAGCTGCAGTCGAGCCGTTGAATTTATTAATTGATTTGCATGAATTCTCAGATGTTCACCAGCAACCTCTGAAAATCTGGTTCACCTTTTCGTTTGAGAGTTCAGAGCTAAGTCAAGGTCCATCATTCTACATCCCTATTCACTTCTTTCCTCTTCGCGACTCCTACTTTCTCCGTCATGCAATTTTTGCTGCAATCTCTGTTCCATCTCTGTTTTTTCCCCCACTGTATTTTATTTTTTTCTATTATTCCTCATTTCTCACCACCTGTTAATCCTTACCCAAACATCCCAGCGTAGCTTATAGTGGTGTTAAAAAATTAGTGCCATCTGGTAGGTGGTCCTTTCAATCTTTAATAAATTATGTTTTTTGTTCATTGTTCTTTTTTTTTTTGCAGGGTCTCAATTCAAATGTATGCATTTCCTTCATTCTGTCAGCCAGCATTATTCTGCTCTCTTCCAGTTATTTTGACAATGATCAAGTGAAGTTAAATTTTTCGATTGATGAATGGCTAATCCACGCTGGGCAGAAACATCGGTGCCAAAATGCTTACCGGACAAGGTTGCCCAATTGTACTATGCTCATGGACTGTTCCTGTCAAGTCACCCAGCACTGATAATTTCTGTCGCTCTTTTCATCATTCTAATTTGTTGGTAAGTGAGTAGGCAAGCTGGAGCACTATAAGACAACTGTAATGAAAAAAATTTGAGATGAGCCAAGATGTCTCAAGTCAGCTAATTGTCATCAAGTGTCATATAGCTGGATTGCATTTTGTAAAAAGGAACCAAGAATATTCAAATGTTGCTAAGATCGTGCATTTTTTTTACCTTGCATATATAAAATAATCATCTAAACAAGTCTTATCTTTACTCCCAATAAACTATGAATGTAAGACAAAATTACGTCAGTAAATTTAATTTTTTGCAAAGAATGTAAGTTGCACAATTCTAGAAACATCAGAATGTTCTTAGTTTCTTTTTGCAAAATGCAATCCAGTTGATCTCTGCTCACACATCAATTAATTTAATTATTTTTTCAATTTGGAACATATTTATTTACCTCCATAAAACATTTAATCTAGTTTGAGAAGATTTTTTACAACCTTTATGAACATGAACCTCTCTCAGCTAACCATGAAGAAGAGATTTGGATTTTTTCAGCTTAAAAGAAATGGAAAAATCAGGCAATTCTAATTTTATCAAGCAATTTCATCAGTTTTGGAATAGCTCTAAGGGTTACTTGAAAATTGGTATAAAATAAAAAAAAATGAAGAAAAAAAATTCCCCATTTAAATTTAACTTTACGGCCTCTTGAGACAGTACCTGCACTCTGCGACAAAAAACTGTGACTGTTGGTATCACTTTCTGTCAGGTATGTGTATGCTCCTGCGTACGTGTATGCTCCCCTAAATGAACATTTAGAATTAGAAATTTTGAATTTAGAAAATAATTTGAGAATTAGAAATTTTGCCTGAAAACTATTTTCAAATATGCCTTTTTAACCATCCGCCACATCTTCAATTGTCAGGGAATTTCATCAAAATGTGTCAGGGAAATCAGGGAAATGTCAGGAAATTTCATTTTCTAAATTCTGTGACAACCCTGCATTCACCAGGAAAGAATTTTTTTTTTTTTTTTTGGAGAGAACTGAGAGGAACCAAAAAAAATATTCACTAATCTTCAGAACAAAATACATAGTCTCTTTTCTGCCTTTTCCTCTGATGCTTACTATCTCCTGATTATTTATTATTAAAAGACATTAGAAAGGGTAAACATTGATTTTGCCTTCTGTTTTTGCTTGCCCAGTTACCCTCTGCTGAATCTTCCATTGCCAGGCAATGTGCCACAGCATTACATCGAGCCATTATCCCCGGACTTAGCTCCATCGGAGCAACCTCGATGGCTCTCTGGTCTTCCTCATTGTTATGTTCAACAGGTAACTAACTTTTTCGCTGCTTCCATTAGATTTTTTCAACTTTTAATAATAAATATCTGGACAGTCAGAGTCTGCCTAATGAAGTGTCTCTAGTCAGGAGTTGGCTCAGAAAAAAATAGTCAAGTCACGAATTCAGTATTTAGTATCAAAAGCATCAAATCAACTTCATCAGTTTTAAATGTTAAATGGACTTATTTAAATAATAATTTAGCGCACTTCAAAACAGAACTGTCTGGCTAAGTTTGTCTGACGTATTCCAGTGAGAGCAAAACTGACAGTCTTGATTTATTTGCTCACAATCACCTCTCCTCAACCAAGCAATGTTCTACCCCAAGAAAACATGAAATGGCTAGAAAAAGTGATAGAATTAGTAAAAAAAAAAAAAAGAAGAAGAAAAATTCAGGTTTTTCGCAACGCCCCTGTCAGATGCAAAGCAATTGGAGTCAAGCTGTGCCATGACATAATGGATTTTCCATCACACCAGCTGTCGATGGAAGTCAAGAAATGAAAAATTTGAAGCTGAAAGTATGAAAAAAATAGACATTCTAGGAAAAAGTATTCTTGCAATCAATCTTTTTGTCTCAGCAAAATAATAATTGGTATTTATATTCAATTACTGTCGTTGTATTAGCAGTAAAATTAGAAAAAAAGTATCTACAAAAGCATCATTAGTAAGGTATCATCATAAGTTTAAGAAGAGAAAGTGAAAAAAAAAATTTGCCAGTACAGTATGGCTTAAAATATCACAAATTTAATTTACAATGAAGGCAAAAAGTTAGAATTTGTCCGCTTGTTCTCAAAAAGACTCAAGCGCCAATACTTTTCTCTTCTTTTCTGGTTTCATTCTGGTCTTAATATAATTTTAAATTGCCCTCCAATACGTTACTATTTCTGAGCGCAGAGATTTAGAATGGGTCAATCAAAATAATTTTTATTGTTTTCTCAAATTCTCATTTCTAGTGCTTGAGTCTTTTTGAAAATGACCGTTTTAACTGTGCAAGACACAGATATCCTATCAACTCTGTAACAGCCTTTGTTGAGACCGAAATGAATTTTCTTTGCAGCTTCTAAAGATTAAGTTTCAGGACATACTGAAAAATATACTGCTCATACCTGACATGGGCTCCATCATTTATTCTTTGTATCAATTATTTCCTCTACTTTAGATAATCATTCGGAGCGCTGTTGCACCATGGACGAACGACCTCATGTTGATGGATGCTTTCAGACCACCTCTTGCAGAGGCATTCAAGCTTCTTGAAATTGTTGAAAACTACCAGCATGAAAACAGGTAAATTTCATATCATGAAATCTGATTTTTTTTTTTTTTTTTTTTTTTTTTTTTTTTTGGGGGGGGGATTTCCAAACTCTGTCGTAAGTGAGTTTTGCATTTTTTCGTAGGAAAGTTTATAAATATGCTGACCCTATCATTATTTACCTTCATAAGTAAGGTTAGGCTCTTGATTTGTGTGGCAAGAAGGTAGGAGTCTCAACGAAGGAAGAAAAAAACTCAGTTGTAAGTTTTGTTGCGTTTAGTAAATAGAAGAACTATAAGTTTCAGACAAGTTGACTTCAACAAAGCCTCTAAAATTTAAAACGGTTTTGTTGGCTGAATTTCAGTTTCATTTTCACAAGAGCAACATGTGTTCAATTGGGAAAATCAATATGATGTATGTAGTTTTGTTCACAATTTTATTGATAAGGTTGTATGCTTCTTTCCAAGCCCATATGAGTCGCAGACCATTGCCTGCTAAATTTAATATCGTTTCAGCAAAGCATTGATGCACAGGTGCTTTCATGGATGAACCAGACAGCCCTCATTTTTAACATCTACATATTAAAAATAGCTTTGTGCTCCTCTTTGTACCAATCCTATGCCTCAGAATCTTTTCTATTCCAAAGTTTTGTGATAATTCGAGGAATGAAAATGTTGGCTTGGAAAGTCAGCATCACACATGTTCTCACATCTACAAATTTTTGAATGCACCAGATAATATGATGAAGCAACATTACCTTAAAAGCAGTTACCAGGTTAGTCTTGATTTTAAGAAGGGGGAAAAATTTCTTTTTTGCAAGTGTTCTAGTGATGTGAAATGGTTTCACTTTTGATAGATTGACCATCGCTGATTTTACATGTAGACAAATAAATTTTGTAAGTTTCTTAATAGTGTGTGTTCTTTTTTTCAATTCATTTTCAGCTCCCTGTCAATGGCAAAAGTCTGTCTTCATGTCGAAACAGTCAAAAAGAAAGCAAGGAAAATGCTGTCTATTCTTCCAGAGTATAATTGTTTGATTCTGTCTCCAGCTAACTTATGGCAAAGGAATATAAACGCATTTCAAGAAGATTCTAACCTAGTTGGAACTATTTTCAGCAATCAGGTTTGTGTTTTGTCAATTGGCAATGCTTTAAGCCGATCTTACAACATTATGTCCCTCCTTCCCCCATACTTTAGTTCATTTCATATTCCATAATTTTTAGCTTGAATCTGTTTTGGTTCACACATTTATCATCCTATTCTAAGATGGTACAGTGAAACCTCGGTAAGTCGGTTCCCGGATAAGCTGGTAACCCGCTTTAGTCGGTAGAATCGCCCGGTCCCGTTTATCACCCATATAACACAATGCTAAATAAGTCTCGGTATCTCGGTTTGGTCAGATTTTGAACCCGCTTAACTCGGTGAAATTTTTCCATCTCGACCTTTTTTTCTTCGATCGTCACCCGTGATCAAGCGTAGGTACCCGTGCGCGGTGCGGGTCGGGTCAAGTTACGCCACGAAGGGTGAGCGAATCTCCGAGAGAGCGCAGCGCAGTGCGAGAAACGACATCGGAAATAGAGAGATAAGGAATCAAAAACACTCGATAACAACACGAAAGATGAGAGCAGTAGAGAATAGTAAATCTGATACCGCGTGTTATCTTATCGCGCGTGTGAAAACACGCATGCATAATTAAGCAATTTCACGCATCGATGAGTTGACAAGTCCAGTCGGCACCGGCCCCTCTCCCCCTACCATCTTGTATTGCCCTTCCCCGCTCCCCCCAGGAATCTTCCGCAGAGTTTTTCGGGGATTTTAGCGAGTATTGATACGTTGCATTTTCAGTGCAACGACCCGCCATAGCGGGCGGCCGCGGCGCATCACCGCGCGGCATGCCGCGTGGGGTGCGCGGGGGGTGATACGCAATGAGGTGCCGCGGCACCCCAACATACGATTAACCCGATGACTCCATGATGCCCTGACACTTTCAACACGCAATTTCAAGTGCATTTCATGAAATTTTACCATTTAGTACCATTTTCTTCGATCAAATGGCTCTCCAAAACACTCCTATAAGTCACTCTACACGCACGTTTGCGTTTGTCCAATTTAGGGCGCGAAATTTGAAAAAGCGCGGCAGGAAAAGTGGCAGTCTGCTTAAGTCGGTAACCCGCTTAACTCGGTAAATTTCCTCGGTCCCGATGGAAACCGAGTTACCGAGGTTTCACTGTACAAAGCTGAATTTTTGCTGCAGCACTTTTTCAGCAGAGTGGAAGTGCAGAAACAATTCCAGTCAAGAGCAGTCCAGGACTCAGAAATAAATGAAAAGGTTCTACATACAGATATGTCGAAATAATTTTTTAATGCTTTTGTCAATTTGTACAAAACTTATATCTGTTAACCAAAAATTTCATTTTGCCCATCATAATATAATTTTAGATGTATGAACAGTGTTCCTTCAAACAATTAAAAGGAAAAATGGAGCAACAACAGATTTTCATTTTTTGCCCCATTTAAAAACTGAAATCGCTCCTAAGGTTAAATTCATTGGTAAAAAGGCTGCGTTGGTGACAAATGAAAATACTTTTAAAATAGAGTCCTTGTAAGTTGCATAGAGTTGGAATAAATACATACAATTTTGCAAGAAATCTATGTAACTTTGACTAATTTTAAAAATCCATTGTAGCAGCGGATCTTCATGCATTATTCTGACCTTCAAAAGAAAAAAAGTATTGACCCATTGACTGATTAATTAATTTTGGGTCTCTGCGCCCAGAATGAGTATTTAATTTTGGTCCTGATTTGCTAATTTCACCTTTACCCCATAAAATCAGATTTTTGGGGCTTCTAGAGCCACTAACTCAAAAAAATGTAATTGGTTACTTATTACTAGACTATAAAGAGAGACAAATTGCCTGGTTGATGAATATGACTTCCATTTTTATACATCTGTGTTGTTGAAATGAATAAGGAAAAATTGAAAAGAAAAAAAAAAAAAGTGGAAACTTATGTATTTTTGACAAGAAACAGCATGCAAAAAGAGAAAAGGGTTTGCAAACCCAAGAGGAAACGCAGATTACTTATATTATAAGATAGAGTGCAAATAATAAAACTGCAACCAGTGCAAAACAAATAAAATAGAAAACGTAACCTCCAAAAAAAAAACTAGAAAATTCCAAGCAAAAATAAAAATGAGGGTTATTTTCTAAACTTGAAAATTACCGTTTAATCGGGGAAATAATGGATCAGATCGTTGGAAAAAATGGAAAATATGGGTCAGTTTTGTCACTGTGTTCACATGAGTTGCAAAATGTGGTGCTCTCTATCGGGAGACACCCAAAACAACACAAATAATGTTGCCAAGTCTCAGGACGAGTGGGACTCGTCGCTTCAGATCCGGCCCGGCGCAGCGCGGTCGAGTACCACTTGTCACTTTCAGTCAATGGGTTAATTCTTTTTTTTCTCATATGAGAGTAACCGTCTAGTAGCTGGGAAGAATAAAAGTGTGCCGGATTTCTTAGGGCATGCATTCTATTTTTTTAGGAGCCTGTTTTTGATTGGTTTGGACAATTCTTGCACCTCGTTCTATAAGAGGGGTCCCTTCAAACTAATAAAGATTCGGAAGTGTACTTCAGATATTACCAAAAGTTTCCTACGAAACCTTACAGTAGTTAAGCTGTTTTATTTGTTCTCTGCTCTTTAGTTTTAAGAATGAAATTTATTTAAAAAGTATCCATTTTACAGAATTTTGGGAAAGGGAAGCTGAGTGTTTCTGAAATGATTTTTGGTATGAGCCTTAAAGATGCAGGAATCAAACGCTACCCAGTGAGGACCAAGCAGAGAGTCGTTCAGTTTGCTGTGACAGTTTTTCTGAAAAAGCATCATCAAGGGTAAGACAGTTTTCAAATTCATGAGATGCCATGCAGAATTTAACCTCTGATTTTGTTGGCTTCAAAATGTAAATGATTAACAAATCAAAAATGTTTCAAAGAATGTTTTGCATAAACTCAAACTTTGAGCACTTACTAGCGTCTGTTCTGTTAAATTTTGGGTCATCAGGTAATAATGTCAACAGAAATGCATTAACAAACACTTCTTTCCCATTAGGGAACTCCAGCGACCCAATGCCAATGCGACGTTTTCAGGAACACAGCCACAGTTGTAGAGATTTTTAATAATAGGCGCCAACTCAAATGCCCCTTACGTCAAATTTTTGCGTGGTCAAGTCGAGTGCCCATGAGGCTAATGTTCATAATTTTGGCATAACTCGAATAGCAATCGAAATAGCATCCGCTTAACTTGAATGAATTTCTTCCTGAGGAAATTTTTTCTCATTTATCATCAATTATTTCTTCCAAATTATCACGAGCTTAAGGGAGGAGGTCTCAAATACTATCTTATCTACTAGATCTCAGACGATCAAGGGTGAACAGATTTAGTGCTGTCAAACTTCAAGCGGTATCCCATGTGCATACTTGCAGACCGGTGTGTGCGATTAGTTGAAACGGAAACCTGTACAAGAATCTGCAGTCTGGCAACATTGTTGAGTTATCTTCAAAAGTAATAAAGAGGAATTCAATTGCGCTCCAGTATCTACGATCAGCAGCGGGAATATTCTCAATTCTAAACTCTGATTTTTCAAAATATCAAACAATCATTTTGACCGTGAAACTCCCATCGTATCTGGGTTTGGAACGTTGCAGACTTGTCAGTTTCCTTTTCTCTTGACATTTTTATGATTCAAAAATTGATTTGTTCAACTTATTCATTTTCATCGTTATGTTATGGTTATTTATTGATTGATTCATTGATTGATACTTTTGTCTTTCTATTCAACAGTGCTGCTGAGATTGCGCTTCTTGAAATTTATCTCTTGTTCAACCAAAAACTTTTACATTCTATGCCACACCCGCAGAATGCTTCCCTTTTCATTTTTAATTAATACCCATTTTCCAGAAAATTCTTTTATCCAAAATTAATGTGATACCTTCACTGATGAAGATGTTTTCTAAATTATTATTCTCATAACAAGTTTCTTTTTTTGTTTGTTACTTTTCTAGGTACTTGCGAGGTTTGCAAACTCATCTGCACAATTTATATCCCCTGCACAAAGATTTCAATTCGGGTGATGAGAACACGACAACGAATTTCAAACTGCACATATACTATCCTGGAGAATTCCATTTCAAGGAGCTGATACCTCTGTCGATAACATATCTCCTCCTGTTTTTTTACATGTATTTCTCAGTTCGGAAAATTGAGCTCGTTCGATCAAAAGTAAGTGTCAAATTGATAAATTCTTACAAATAAATCTTCTTGTCTACCTTGTGATTGTATGATGAGATTTTTGTGACTCAAATGATAACAGATTAGGTACATCTCTCAATCTTAGCTCAAAAGGTTTGTTGTGGTTCTTGGTGAAAAAGAAGCTTAAATGCCTTCAATGTTGCATTGGAGTCTCCACAATTAATTGAGGACACCGCACCAAGAACAGCCTATAGGCGTATAGGTCGTTATTACGCCCATCTGTTTTTCGGATTCTACGTACCCTGGACTATGCTGTGGTAGCGATAGAATATAGATAGGTAACGGCTCGAGGTCGAAAAACCTTTTTTTTCCGAGTTAAGTCAGGCCTCTGGATCGATGGTCGCAAGAACGACCTATAAACGGGTTTATAAACTTAAGGGCCTATAAGGTGCTAGTTACCCCTTTCTTTACTCACTATAGATTTTCTTTCATTTTGCTTCAATCATGCGTGATTAAAATGATTTAGACTTCATATTGCCACCAAAATGACTGTTGGACGTAATAATGGCCTATAAACCGCTTTTTTAAATTAAATATATTAGAGTGTAAACCCAAAATGTATCGCAAAATCTACCCGGCATCCTTCAATAGAAGGGTTAGGACACCCAAAAACACCAAAACAGGGTACCTGCATAGAAAAGTCTGCACAGTACATAATAAACAAAACATTAAATGCGTTTTTCTCAAAACGTGGTTTCCAGTTATAGGCTGTTCTTGGTGCGGTGTCCTCAGTTGTAATACCTATCATTGTAGGAAAAATAGGCATCAAGTGCTGAAATATAGGCTCTAATGAGTTAGCAATTTCCCCATGTGAGTGGCTAATGTTTTCGTTACGACGTGGTCAAAGCGGGAAATATTTGCTTTCTTTAAGTAACATCCCTGTATACTTGTACCCTCCGTACCAGTTTGTATTTTGTGCCCTAGGTGCAGTGTAGTGTCACCCTTTTTTCCCAATTAAAATTTGGAAATCAGTCAGGAAATCCTTTTGTTCAGTGACAAATAAAATTCAGAAAGTCTCAAGAAAGTTTTTGCTGTTTAAAAAAAGTAAAGAGACCTAATTGTTTAATTAGGAGCTGAGTCACAAAATCTATTTTGACTATGTATTGATTTTGTTTATTTTTCAGCAAAGGAACCAAAAGTAATTAGACTTTGAATGTTATTCCAATTTATTGTGTTATTTTTTCAGGGTTTAAGTACTCCAAGTAATAACACCTCCTTACTTTAATTATTTCAGATTGGAATGGCTTTCAGTGCTGTAATAACTGTTTTAGCTTCATTGTCCATGTCTGTTGGAATTTGTTTTTTCTTTGGACTGGAACTCGCAGGAAGTGGGCGAGGGCGGGAGGTAATATTGGTCTACTCATTTTAGAGCTACTAATTTTTTCAATACTCATATATAATGTTTTTTCACTTGGATCAGACTTTGAAAGTAAAATTAATGGTTGTATCGAATCAGTAAAATTTTTGAGAAATGAATAATGGGCTAATTAACCGAAAATCAAAGAAAGAAAAAAAAAAGAATAATTCAAAATATATTTACTGAAGTTACACACATTCTTTGCTGCTCTTTGTCTTGAAAGAGGCCAAGTAAATGTATAAATCGGCATGAAAATGGTTTATTTGTAATGGATGAAGGTACTGTATCACACATTTTTCAGGATAGTGATTTTTGGCCCATTAGGTTGGCAGATTAGTATTTAAGTTGCGTTCAAAAAACAGTCTCTTGTACACTGAAGAATAAGTTGAATTAGTTTAGTAAATTTTTTTGCCATTTAGGGTCGTAAAATTGCAGTTTCATTTAACAGAATTTAGTCTTAAACAAGAGAAATTATAACTTAAAAATAAGTTTCTATAGAAACTATTTTTTTTGAACTGCAGACTGCTATCCACTGTAGCTTTCGTTTAGTCTAACACTTTTGGACGTAATTTTACTTCAAAATGTTTGTACAGAGCTTTGACAAAACCAATGTCTTAATATCATTATTTCTGGTCCCTTTCTTTGAACATTAATCTTACATGAAAAGTCATCGTTATTTGTTAAGCTTGATGTTCACAATGCCTTTTTTAAAAGCTTGATTTCTCTTTGTCAGTTTGAGTATTGCTGTTTAAAACTACGTGTCAGATACCCTGGGACTCAGGAGCGATTTCATGGGGTTTGATTCTCCTGCGTTGATTGCATGTAACATTTTTAAATTGGTGCCAACGAGTTAAAGTGTTGAGAAGTAACAGCTCAGTATTAGTTCTTATTATTGGAGGAAAAGCAGTGAAACAGAAGATCTCAAAAACAGCTCTTTTTCAACAAGAGGAACAATCCTTCATAAAATTGTAATACGTTTGATGTTATTTCACAAGAGCAGTAAAAAGATGGCTCAAGGGCTCCTCAAAGTGATTCATCTATCGAAGCTGAAAAGGAGGAAAAGTTTCCAAGCTTTTTAAGTTGCGAGATTTGAGCAGATTTATCTGTTGGTTTTCATTAAAATGTGACTGTTTCTATCTTAGGTTTTTCCCTACCTGGTTATTGTTGTCGGGCTAGAAAATGTGCTTGTCCTTACAAAATCGGTCGTGTCAACGGCCCCTCATCTTGATGGGAAAATCAGAGTGGCTCAAGGATTGAGTAAAGAAGGATGGTCCATCACCAAAAATTTGTTAACTGAAGTAACAATATTAACTGCTGGTCTTCTCACATTTGTGCCCGCTATTCAGGTATGCACCCCCTTCCTTCAGTTCTCAAATCAATCGAGAATCAAGGTAGTAGCTGTGTGCATGCTCCTTGTAGTTTGTTACCACCATTATTGCACGACATCCTTGTAAATCTGAGCCGAAGGGACAGCTGCCTTCCCCATGACCTGAACTTTTCCCTCTTATAAAGGTCATTTTTTGTGCCTTTCAGGAAGCCACCTTTGCGTGCCCCCTGACAGAAATTTTTGACTGTAGATCCCTTTTCCACGACTAATATCCCGCTAGACTGGTGTAACCTATTGTATATTTTATAGAATCATACCATGTCTGAAGGACCCTCTTTCAGCAAAACAGTCAGTAAAATTTTTGCCAAGGAATCGATTGCAAGGAAAAAGTTAATTTCCAATTCCTTTATTTGGAGAATATCACTTCATACAATGTTTAAACTGCCTAGATTCTTTTATATTTGATCCGCAATATTCATAATTCATCTTTTTCTTGAAAAATACACAGCATAGTCTAAAACATTAAAACTATGATACTGCATAAACACTCAATATGTTATTTGGATTTTCAACAAATTTTTTTAAAAAAAAGAAGTTTTGTCGATTAGTTTAGAAGATATTTTTTATTTGTATTTTCTAATTTCCAGGAATTTTGTATTTTTGCTATGGTTGGTCTCCTATCGGATTTCTTTCTCCAAATGATGTTTTTTGCGACACTGCTGTCAATCGATATCCGAAGCACTGAACATTCAGCCAGTTCTCCTCCAACTTTGTACTACTCTTCCGCCTCAGTGACAAAACGTTCATCTCGAATGCGGACCAATGAGCACTTGGAAGGAACACCTCATTCCAAATCTCATCCTCGTCTAAATGGACTTAACGTTATCGCGCCAAACCACCAGTCTCCCGCAACTCCTGCAAAAATCCCTAAACGACTGCGTCTTGTTCATTTCTGGGCTAAAACCCGTATTGTTCAGCGAGCGTTCATGGTCTGCATGGTTGCTTGGATTGGTGGGATTGTGTACAGTGCAGGTATAATCCAGCAAATGGTTCAAGTAAACGACGATGATGTAGCGCATGTTGAGCCAAATCAAAACCCGCGTCATCATTTTCCCCTGGCCTGGGAAGGTGGGCGCCGGGCTGCTATACTTGAAATGGAAGCCAAGCTCATGAAAGCAGAAACTGAAGCAAAGAAGTATTTATCAGATGTAAGTAAATGAAATTGCTACATCTTTCAAAAGTTTTCTCTACAGAATTAAAATTTAGAGGGTGACTAGCCACCTAAGCATTTTGGGTGCACTTTTGGGATAATTTCTCGGGTTTGCAAGTGATAGGATGCAGGTGTTTGCTCAGCAGTATGGTGAAGATGAGATCCACCCTAAATTTTTTTTCTGAAATTGACGTTTCATTATTATTTACTCGATAACAGTCTTGGACTGTGCATTCCTCTTTCATATATTTCAACAGTAGAAAGAATTTCATCTAGTCATGATTATTCGTTTAATGATCAATAGTAAACATTTTTAAAGGTATGTTTCTGTACTAAGGCTAGAATCTCTTCCAAACGCAAAGGAGAAATAATGTAGACTTATTCATTGAGAGTACATCTTTTTCCAGATGAAGAATGAGCATTCGCCAACAACAGATGATCTTGCTCGTTTGAAGCCTGTGGAGTTTGAACCTTGGAGAAAATTATCCCATCATCATTGGTCAACCATTTTATCCCTTTACAACAACTCTGTCTCTGGTTCTTATGTAACTGTTCTTCCTCCGATTTACTTGGCTCATCCAATTTCTCCCGATCGGGCTAAAGCTATGCGCAACCCTCATGAGAAAGTTGTAGAATTCCAGTGGCAATCATTGGCTGTGGCGTTGGATCCATTGGATTTTTCTGGTTTGTAATCATAGTTTGTTCTTTTTTTCCCATGAAATTTTTCTGCCTTTGTACCAATCAGACTTAGATTAACTATCTTTCCTTAAACAAAAATCTTGAGATAAGTCACCTAGGGTCTGCACTAATGTAACAAAGAACAGACACAGCAACAGGTTCTTTTTTCAAGTGAAGGAGTTGAAGTGTTTTTTTTTGGTATTTTTAGTAACCCCACGCAACACTGTGGAAGTAACTTCATTGAAAAATAAGCTGCATACTCTACATGACTATGTGTAGCAACAAAATCAGTGTTTTTGTTTGACTTATTTCTCTATCATTTCTGAAGACAATTGGTACTTCAATTTTGGCTGTAATTTTTCTTCAAGAGGACAAAAAGCAGACAGGCATCATCTTAAATCCCAATTTATCATGCTGTGAACTGATTTTGAATCTTATTGTATCCTGCAGACTCAAATATCAATATGAAACTGGGTTCCAAAAGCAGGCACGGATCTTTGTTGTCAACAGATGCACCCTTCATTCCTAGTTCTCCGATGGAACTGCTTCTAACCTCTCTCCTTTGTGGAATCAGCGTACTTGTTTTAGCCTACACAACGACAGTTCTTTACCGATGTGTTTGCTCAAGAAATTATGCAGAATGGAGATCTGGCTGGCTTAGGGACAATGACACAGGCGCAGAACATGGACTTCAGGTACAAATCTTTGAAAATACAGGCCAAAAAAACGCCCAATTTCTGCACAAAAGCAGACATTTTGAGATCAAAATTCGAACGGGAATTTCAATCCTCAAATTTTTAATTTATTATCCAGAGCTGATAGTACGGTTCCTCAAGAAATAAATTGCAATCTTCAGGACAGAAGTAAATTTTAGTAATTTCTGTGGTCTCAAAATGTGACTTGTACATTAATATGATTGAAGCATCCGCTTTAATTACTTGACCTATCAAAAGAGCAAACTGCATTGACTAATTTGGTTCAAATTTTGGACATAATTTTTAAAAATAATAAGCTTTTATTGAAGATGAAAATGTACAGATTGAGGTTCGGGTTTGAAGATGTTTCAGAGATTCAATTTGGGTTGCTTACGCAGCCTCTATAGATTATTGCATTAGGACAATACGAGACTTGAATTTTGAATCTAAAGCAAACCCAAACTAAATCTCTGCAACCTGAACATCTTTAATACTTTATTAAAGATGACATACTACTTACATCTTAGTAACATCTTTTTTCTTCTTCTCTCAGGTTGTTTTAGAAGCAGTTCCAATAGCTCTGGTAGGGCATTCGCAAGAAATAGAATGTATGGCCACTGATGGTAGTCTTATTGTAAGCTCTTGTCTTGCTGGCCAAATCAGAGTTTGGGATGCCTACACTGGAGAATCAGTGTCCACAATTGACAGAAGGCAGTGAGTACATAGGCTTAAACATTGCCACAGATTTACCGGAATGGATCACCCAAAATTCTTTCGGACAACCTAAAATTCTCCATGATGTTTCAGTTATTTGTATTTTGCCTTTGTTTAAAAGTTGAATGCACGATGCAAAGAGCAGAAAAGCTTCACAAGATCTTGTCATTCAGACTAAGGCCTTGTCCACACGAGCGCGGTTCGCGGAACTTATTCCGAGGAACTTGTTCCCGGAACAAGTTTTAGCTGAGCTAAAAACTTATTCCTCCAAAACCCAGAACTTCCCCCGTACTTTGAGCTTCTATATGTGTTTCTTTTGATGTGAATTTGTTTCTTTTTGTTTTTTACATCCTTTACAAGTCTTGACATTTATTTTTGTTACTTTGGCGGCCGCAATAATCTATTATTTTGCGATAATCATATAGTTTTATTGAAGTTCCAGTTCCAGTTTGGGCGAACTCGTGTGGACAGAATGCCTCGTTTCAAGGAATAAGTTCCGGGAACTGAGCAGTTTGAGGAATAAGTTCCGGGAACTGAGCAGTTCGAGGAATAAGTTCCGCGAACTGCGCTCGTTTGGACAGGGCCTAATGTAACGCCTGAATATCACATAGTGCACATAAAGAAAGGGTTTGGTGTATTTATAGGGGCAAGCTTTACTGCAGCTGTGATTGGAGAATGATGTTGCTGCTATTATATGTCAGGAGTCAATGGAATTCTTCATGGGAATAGATTTTTGAGCTACTTATTGTTAGAAAAAAAAATTTAAGAAAAAAAATAAAATAATGAAAGGGGGGGGGGGTTCTACTCAGGGTTGGGCAAGATATTAAAGCTCAACAGTTTTGCATCATGAGTGTGCATGGAGAAAGTAATATTTAGACACCCTCTTATGAGCATGATGAATGGTATTTTGGGTAAATGATGCAACCCTGCAGAGGTGATTAAAGTTCAAAAACAATAGAGCTCATGCCAAATAAGTTTACGCTCTTTTAGACTGCAACAGAAGATCCACTATCTTGCTACTTGCATTTACTTTACAGTAATACGTCATACAGACTTCAGACGATCTTCTGTCGCAGTCTGGAGGTGCGTATACTCATTTGACGTGGACTCTAACTGCTACTCGCAATTTAGCCCTCATGCTTCTTAGACAAATTTCCAATTTGCGAGATAGGGAATCCCTGATCTTGCAGCAAAACGCCCGATTTTCTATTGACTGTGCAATTTACCCTCTCTCCCCCATTTTTTTGGACTATAGACCACCAAAAGTTGGAAAATTATGCATATTTTCACTTCTGTAACCTAGGTCTAGAAAGTTGACAGATCATGAAAGTGTTAGACAAGAAAACTGCATAATTACAGGAAATGAACAATTAAGAAATCAACAACAGGGAGACGAATTAAAAGTAATTTCTAACTAACATATATTTTTAAGATGAGAAGAAATTTGTAAAAACTTATTTTTATCCTAGTTTTTATCTGTCTTTATCGTATGTACCTACAAAGGTTTTAAAATTCGAAAGTAAAATTAGTTTGTCTGATATTTAATTAAATCGTGTTAAACTCTTAACTTAAAGGTTCAAAGTATAAAATTTTTAAAAGGAACTTTGTTAGAATATCAGCCTCTCAAAATTTTTTCCCGTCATCCTTCTAGGTATGCAGCTGAAAACTGCAGGGCAGATGAAATTATGATAGAGCCTGATAATGAAAGTAATGTTTGTTCGGACCATGAGTCAGCTTCTCCTATTTCAAATGGTGATCCAAACTACCACTCACCAAATAAATCCTTCAATCAAAGGTAAGAAATGTTTTCCCTAAATTTGCTTGTTTCTTAAATGAAAACTGTCTTCCATCCATCATGGGTTCAGTTGCAGCAGTTTTGCAGGGAAACTTAAAATATTCCTTTATTGGGGATAGCCCAATTCCATTTTAAGATTGTGTCCGAGGATTTAGTCCTAAAGTTCTGTAACACCCTCATAATGGGCGCTTTGTTCAACTAGCTTTCTTCTTCTTTTTTTTTAAACTTGACTTAACCATCTATGGAATACTGTTACTTATTTGTAGCAACACATTATTCGGTTTTTAAAAATTAAAGTATTTCTCTGGGGCATGATGTTGGTTTCAATTTTTTTATCAATTTTTTTTTTCTCTCTTAGACGTAATTGAACACAGGATGGAATTTATAGACTAAATCGGGCAGTGCTCTCTTCATTGATCCACTTCGAGAAAGACAAAATGTGAATCAACAAGTAATCCCTCTATTGAAAATTTGAGAATAATTTTATTCTTGTTAGAATCATATAATGAATGAGTGTGAAAAATATGAACGAACTTGCTTTCTGTGTTACCTAACCGTTCACGTTAAAATTCTCATTTTGTTTGAAAGTTTGCCAACCCAAAAAACCACTCCTGTTATTTTAACATGTTAACTGTCATAAAGATCGTTAAAGAAAAATGCAGAAAAAGCAGGAACCCTTTCAAGTGGCTCCACGAAATGTTTATCTTGTTAGGAAAGAGCAAAGGTCTTCTATTGTTCTTCTGTATTTTTACAAAAAATGGTGGTAATGATCATGTCTATGCTCTGTGTATCTCAAGGCTGGTGGAAAGTTGATCGTGTATTTCTCTTGTTTGAACCTCTTGGGAATAGCAGTGAATCCGACAAGTTAAAAGAATCAAATGATTCTGGATTGGACCTTATTGAAAACGAAATTAAACCCAAGTGCAATGTTTTTTCTAAGAAAGATGACTCATAAGTCTACAGTTTCATTTGTAATTCTAGCAAAATTCTTTCTTTTTTCAGGTCACTAAACCAAAGTTTGAATAACTCTGGAGACGAGCTTTACTACCAATTAAAAGAACTGATAGAGTCGGACAATGAGGTGCCGTCTAACAAAGGGTACCCACTAAGATCGTTTCCTGATCTAAACCACGCCATAAAGACCAACTTTTCAGAGCTAGAAAGGCGGACTGAGTCGAAAAATGTTGACTACAAATCACATGGCTTTAATTACGGGGATACCATCAAGATTGCATACTCTAACTTCAATAAATCCATTTTCAATGACAGTTGTAATCTAGATGGAGAGTTTTGTGGAGGTAATGCATATGGAGTGAATAATGTAATTCATCCACCTCATACATTTGACCAAAGAAAAGTCAGTAGAAACATCGGAAATTCTTTCGATTTGCATCAATCAGGTCGCACCTGTGTACCATCGAATGAAAATACTTCGTCACCTGTTAATCAGCCATTTTCAAGATTTTCCAGCAATGTCCCCACAATATGGTGCATCGATTGCAAAGAAAGTCTCATTGCTATTGGATGTTCCAATGGAAGGTTAGAATTTTGGGAAGCGACGTCTGGAAAATTCAAGTGTCTGTTTGAAGATGGCAATAGTAATATTGGCATAACAGTTGTCAAGCTCATCGGCAATTATGTCGTCGCTGCTAAACTCAGCGGTTTTGTAGATTTTTATAGGTTAGACATCTCATCTTCAAATACATACAAACATGTAAATAGTGTTAATAATGAAAGCAGTAGTAATAATGTAAATACTAGTTTAAACAATAGTATAAGTAATAATCAAAGACGAATGCATGTGCGCACATCCAGTTTTGGGTCGATGTGCGATGGATTCTCGGAAAGTGCCGAGATACGGTGCGTTCGGATTAATTCTACCAAGGCTCACCACCAACCAATAACTGTAATGCAGAGTGAAGGTGGGAGAGTGGTCACGGGGAGTCAAGACCATGCCCTCAAAGTCTTTCGGTTAGAGGACCAAATAACATTGTATACGTTGCACGGTCATTGTGGGCCAATTACGTGCCTATTCATTGATCACATCACACCATTGATGGCAGGTTCGGGGAGTCAGGATGGTTTACTCTGCGTCTGGGACTTATTAACAGGTGCATGCATGTACAGTCTTCAAGCCCACGATGGAGCTGTTGTCGCATTGACATACTCTGCAAGCTATGTTATCAGCTTCGGTCAAGATGAAAGACTCTGTGTCTGGGAACGGTTTCAAGGCCACTTGTTGAATACAATTCAACTAACGCAATCATTCACCAGCTCAATCGTAATGTTAACTCATAATTTGCTGATAGCATCAAAATTAGGTTCTTTAATTGTTTTAGATGTTCGAACTGGGGAAACGATGCATGCAGTAAAACTTGGTCACTCTGACTCATCAGTTTTTATCAGTCAAATTCTACCTCTCATTGATAGTGTCTTTTGTAATTACGGTAATCAATTAAGGATAGTAAGTTTTCCATTAGTGAGGGATAAGAATGATTAATTTATTTGTTATTTTTTTATTGTGTCAATTTGTAATGGAGTCAAGGTAAAGGAGACCAAAGGTTTAAAAATGAAAAAAAAGACGAGTTGGGCAGTTGAACCTCTGCCGGAGCCTTAAAAACACCAAAGAAATCCTTGAAGTGACTCTTTGAGACTATCGAAAGCCAACTTGAAAAAATACAATCAAAGTTTTGAGACAATTTCACTGAAGAGAGCATGTTTCTGCATTGACAAAGAGGAATATTTGATCCTCAAAAATGTGCCATGAACTCCTAGGCACATGCAATGCATCCTCAAATCCAGTGCCTACAAAAGGAGAAAAGTTGGGTCATTTTGTCTGATTGAAAAAGAGAATGCATGATTTATATCGATAAGTTGGGTCACAGTATAGCCAGCACTGTCATCAGTTGTAGACACAGTTCATTGCAGACAATCATTACATTTTTTATAAAGGAAAGTGTAATTTGAGGTTTAGACTCAGCACTCTTGGGAGTCCGGAATCATCACTAAAGAATTACAAAAAATTAATGATTTTTACTCTTGTCTTTTTTTTTCATTCAAGAAAAAAATCAAGCTTCTATCTGTTTTTCCTTCCTTTTCCGTGACTCCATTAAATTGTTGTTCTAGTGAATTTTTTTACACTTCAGTTTGGTTGTGATCTGAGTGAAAGAAAGAGAAAGGTTCCAATCCAAAATGAATTTTTTTCCAAAAATTAATTGTTAATTCCTCTATGATCATTGATTTGTGTATTATCGCTTCAAAAAAGTAATAACTTAATTTTTTTTTTAATGATTTTTCTTGAAAGATCTTCTTGTTTAAAAGTTGATTGCTCTTTGCAAGCAGAAGAAACATCCTAATTTTTGTAACTATTATTTTACTGAATATTATTCTTAAGTAGTTTTCTTTCTTATGACTGTAATGTTTGGTATTTACATTTGTAACTCTGAGCGAACAATTCACCTTTTGGTGTTGGAAGTCTAATTTGACGCAGAGTTACCTCCAAGGAATTTTATAATGTACTGTACCATAGGAAGAGTTAGGAGGAGAAATGTACACCAGTAAATTGGGCCTGATGAAAGGAAAACATAAGTGCAACTAGTAATTGCTAATTAATCAATCGCCAAATAATTGTTTCAATACTAGCTAGTCAAAGTTTGTATGTACGATTTCTTTGCTAAAGGCAAGAACACTAAATCTTAATGTAACTGTTTTCAAATACTTTACTAAAAGTGATACAAAACTTTTAAAAAAATTTCAATAAATCGTCATTAATTACTTATTTATTGGATGGATGAAGCAAACTGTCAAGAAGAAAGACTTGCCTCACACGGTGCCCCTGAACTCACTTTAAATGCGACTTTGTTGTACATCAAAAATTCAAGGTGGAGGTTGTAGTGGGGTACTCCCTGATGGGTTTTTGGGCAATTTCGAAATAGGTTGTCGGAGCTCCTCGAAAAATAATCGCATTTTTGTGGTTTTTTAGGGGTAAAATAGCAAAATTGGCCTC